ATGTCATACTAGCTTAGCGTTTTGAATACGTATATATATATATATATATATACAGGGTGACTTCGAAGTTGAGTCATTTATTTTAACAGTGAGTAGATCTGATCAAAAGAAATGTTTTTTCCTTTACCATTTTCCTGGTAAAATAAAGTAACAAAGTTATAGCCCTTTGGAAGTTTGAGTACCGCCCTGTCTCAATAACAATATTATGTGGTCGTGTTTGGCGACAATGGATATAATCCGCCGTATCGGTTCATCGCATCGGAAACAAAAAAGCGAAAGAATTTGGAACGATGTTTTTACAGGTATCTCATTCATTTGTATACAGTTAGTGTCAGTGAACAGTGGTATGTGTTGCGTGGCTCAAACGAATAAAAAATGGCACATGTTTATGCGGATCGGTTTCCCAATCGAGTGCAACCAACCCCTCGTGCCTTTGTTAATGTAGTACAACGGGCTCGTGAATCAGGTGACTTAAGACCTCACAGGGGACCTCACGATCAAATACAGGTCCGCACTGAAATACTTGTCGGGAGGATACTTTATAAAACAAGGTAAAATTTTTTTTAATTTTTTTTTATTTTTACACACATATTCTGGTTTATCTTCCTTCTACAATCATTATCTGAAAATTAATGACTCAACTTCAAAGTCACCCTGTATATATGCGAACAGTCAGTTCGCATAGAAGGTCAGAAAGGCGCCGGGAAGGGACGGCATCAACAACAGGATGCTGAAGAACCTTCCCTCCAAAGGCACTGCTGCGCTCACCAACATCGCCAATGCCACTCTGAGAATTAACCACTTCAGGCGGCGGTGGCGGGAAGTACAGGTTATAATGCTCACCAAGCCAGGCAAGGACCGGAAGTTGCCCCAGAACTACCGGCCCATCAGCCTGGTTTCCTCGATGGGCAAAGTAGTCGAAAAGGCTATCGCCGTTCGACTAGAGAAGCAGGCAGAAGAACTGAAACTTCTCCCCCCAGAGCAATTCGGCTTCAGATCCTCCCACAACACGGAACTCCAAGCGCTACGACTGACAGAAAACATCACCAGCGGCTTCAATCTCCAGGAGGCAACCGGCCTCGTCCTGCTGGACGTGGAACGAGCCTTCGATCGAGTTTGGCACGATGGACTCATCGCCAAAATGAAAGCCGCCGGAATCGATGCAAACATGTGCCAACTGATCCAGAGCTATCTAACACAAAGATGGTTCACGGTGAAGATTGGTACATGCCACTCAACAAAACGACAGTTGGAAGCAGGCGTGCCCCAGGGGTCAGCCTTAGCCCCCCTGCTCTACAACATCTATACTCACGACGTACCGAAGACAGCTGACACAATGCTGGCCCTATATGCAGACGACACTGCTATAGCCGCCAAGCATCGACGACCGGAGATCATCCGTAGGAGACTACAGGATGAACTGGAACACATCCAGGACTGGTGCGTGAAATGGAAAATCCGCATAAACGTCCAGAAGACGCAGGCAATCTTCATCCAACGAAGAAGGATTGCAAGACCTCTCGAAGCATCCATCTTCGACGAAGATATCCAGTGGAGCGACAAAGTCAAATATCTGGGGATCGTATTTGACAAGTCCCTCACCTGGAAAGCCCACATAGAAGCTGTCATCGCAAGGAGCAGCCATGGCTCAACTCTACCCATTACTGGGTAGACACAGCCGGATGCCGCTAGCGACCAAGCTACGGCTGATCAAGGTCATCGCCAGACCTCAGCTCGCTTACGCCTCCGCGGTCTGGGGGTACGCTGCCCCCAGCTACCGCAAGCGACTTGCTGCTCTAGAGATGAAGCTACTCCGGATCGCCACCAGTGCACCATCCTACGTAAGAAACTCAACCTTGCGTAGAGACCTGCATTGGGACACCATTCACGAGTACATGAGGAAAAAAGCGGAGAAGACCTTCCAGAAAGCTCAGGACCACCCGAACGAGCAGCTACGATTCCTCATGGACTACGATCCGGACGAGAGGCCTCGCAACCGCAGAACCAGGTACAATAGACCAAGGTCCCAGTTGGCACCCGCTAACTGGAACCTTCACTAGGAGACTAGGAGAACCCGCGGTTGCTCCCCCCCCCCCACGGCGTGGATGCAGAGGACCAGGAACCACCGGGACCAGGACCCACCGGGACCAGGACCAGGACCAACCAGGACCAGGACCCGCCACGACCAGGACCCACCAGGACCAGGACCCTTCAGGACCAGGACCAGGAAAAATATATAGGTAAGAGGACTTGAAACTCTTGATTTTTTCGAAAACAAGAGTTGCAAGAGAACCTAGCAGACCCTCTATCGATGATCGCTTAACGTCATCGATAGAATGTGCGAGGTAAAGGGAACCAACCCGGCGTTCCCAGAGACTGAAACACATGAGGTTAGGGTTTAGTGGGTATTAGGTGGGCTCCTCAAGACAACCTGGAGTCCCACACACGCCGTAGCTCGGGCTATGGTATGGTGCGTAAACGCATTCCCCCCTCACCAAAAAAAAAGTTCGCATACTTACTATATAAGTAAATGGTCAATCATCTACAACTAACATATCACAAATAAGCTTATCTACGACCACACAGAAAAATGTGTTTCATAAATTTGTAGGTCTGAGCGTTTATATTATTTTTTGCAGTAAAGTACAACAATCTAGACATTGTTGAAACTAACCTTCTCTTATCTACACTAAAACCAAGTCCAAGATAGAGTTGATGTAAACATAGTCATGCACTGCGCACACGTATCTCGAAGGCTGATGGTTTGTACAGAGTCGTATTCAGAAGCTTTTTGCGATCATTCAATGATGCCAAACAATTTATCGATTGCAGATGCTATATCTTAGAAAAAATTCTTCATGATTGCGAATGAAGTAAAATATGGCAGATCTATAACCAAATGTGGCCACTATGTGCACTATAAAAGATTTCCATTGGATTTTCCATAAATCATAAACGCCATTTGAAAAGGAATAGAAGAAGAAGAAACTATTAACATTGTTTATCAGAATGTTGAACTTGAACTGTCATCCTCATCACTGGTATCATTCTGGCCAAATTCAATTATCAGTGGTTGGACTTGTCTTTCTAAAATATTATCGAGCTCCCACATCTTTGTCTCGACTTTTGTGCCGAACACACTTTTCCCATTTCTCGGCTCAGATTCTGCTTAGGGCTTCATCAAAAAGTACCTTGAGGTCGGCAAATTTATACGTGGTGTTATGTTGTGCCACAAAGTTTTTAACATCCGCCCGTATGAGCTCTATGGGATTTAACTCACAGTGATATGGGGGCAGACGAAGGACTGTTTTGTTATGGCTTGCTGCCATCTTATCGACTGCATATTTTTCGTATGCAGCCTTATATGCTCTTTGACAAATAGCTGGACTTTTAGCATTGAGTCCTCAAAGCTGATATTCTTTGCTCGCAACAAATTTTGTATTTCAACCTTTTTCGATGACGTCGTCGGGATTTTCTCTATTCGTCGAGAATGGTATGGCGCATTGTCCAGTACAATTACTGAGTTGTCTTCCAGGTATAGTAGAACATTGGAAAACCACTTTTCGAAACATTCCCCGTTCATTTCTTCGTGGTAATCACCTGTTTTCTTTGACTCGAAACACCACCGCCCTTCAGCAACAAACCCATTCTCATTGCCAATATGACAAACAATTAGTCTTTTTCCTTTACCTGGAAGTGAGAACTGGTATGTAACTTAATAAAACACCATAGTGATAAGATATACACTTGAAATCGGATTTTTTGAAATTCGGAAGAATAAACTGGTCTCCGTCGAGATTTGAGCTTGAGACCTTCTGCTTTACGCTCAGATGCTCTACCACTGAGCTACAGATGCCTGACAGCCCACATGGCAGAACTTCAATGTAAGATACAAGGTTCTAAGAATCTGGTTCGCCAACAATACGATGTAATTCAGATACAAACTTAGCACGCGTAGTTAAGTCCGGAAAGAGAAGACTGTTCAGCCAACAGACAGACAGGCCGACGTAAACTAGTGTCATGAATGTTATTTTAAATTCGGAATTCCTGGTCTATGCGTGGGAAGTAAAATATTGTAGAAACAAAATGATTTCAATTAAAAAAAATATACAAGCTAAGGAAAGCTAACGTTTTCTTGACTATATCCTGATATATGAAATTACCCTGAAAGGATGTTCAAGTATCTTTTGTACTAGTATTTTATAAGTTACGATTAAAAGTTTACCTGATGGATTTTTCAAACCAGTGGACAGTTTATCTAGAAATGCCCTCCTAGATGTGGTCACGGTTTCATCGACCCATACCTTAGGAGTAGTATGACGAGCATTAACCCAAGTTTCATCCAAATAATAAATTGCTTGACATGAACACAGAACAAACTTTCTTTCTGGCCTAGTCCTTGAGTGTGGCTACATCAACGAGAACTCTTTCTTAGATTTTTAAGTATACAGTATTTTAAACGCATTCCACCAAACATCTCAAAAGTCTATTAAATTCCACTTTCAATTTATAAATCTAAGAGCACTTCGTTATACCCTATTTCATGAGTATCCATCACGGTTCTGGATCCGTTAACGCCAGTTAGACAGAGCCGTATTTTGCTTGCTTTTTTGTGCGCTACTGATTCATTTTGTACTTGCTTACAGCTCTTTTATTCAGAAAAATTCATCTGCATACAAAAAACAAAACGCCACAAACAAGTTCTACTAGATTCATACCCGATTCATTATTGTCAACGTTGCAGACTAACACAAAAATGTCACTTACTAATCAGCTGTTCAGCTCAGTAGACGTTAAAGCGTGATGGATACCCCTGAAATAGGGTATATAAGGCTTTATTTTTTGAGAGAGTACTACAGGTTAGGCTAGCTCCGTTTTGAAAATCGACCGTTTTCTAATCGCCACCCCAAATTAACGTGCAAATCACAAAAATGATGTTATTTCGTATGTTACAAAAATGCCTTCTCCACACGTCCATGGGTCAAATAGTACAAATAATCAACATGAAATGCAGGCGCGTGATTTGTAAACGTCAAAAAGAACAAAAACTTATTTTAAGTAAATATATTTGATAAAATCATATTAGTTCACTATAATAAAAATAAATATTTTATAATATAATTCGCATAATAAAAATTGTTAACAGAACAGTTGTAATACTTGTACATATCCGTATCGTATAACGTTTTCAGATAGTCACTTTATCACATTTTATATTAATACTAATGCAGGTAGGCACCTAGAAGTAATTCGTGGTGTATCTACTGGGCAGAGTTAGTCCTGTTAGTAGGTATTTATCAGTGCTGTCTCCAAATACAAATTTCTCCTTTGGGACAGGCTGTTCAATTTTCTCCGTCAGGTATACCCTGTAATCAATGAAAAATTATTTGCAAAGCTGTGTAGAGTGTGGCCACCAGTATGGCAAAGCATTTAAGTTGTTAATAAAATGGTCAGTGACATATGGATCATTCCCTATTCATAGGTTTCACATTTGACATGTAGACCTCTCAACTAAATTAGCGAATAAACCTCTTTTAATTCACTTATTTTAGCATTACCACTTGTTTGCAAAGGGCTCTGAATGTGGTCCAACATGGTCCTCAAACGAGGGTTTAAGCGTAAGTCCACCAGAAGGAAGAAATTAGAGGGGTTGGGCCTTTATATCAACTGGGAGAACAGTTACAACTGTTGGGGGAAGTCAAGCACCCGGGGTGTGATACTCCAAACGCATTAAAATGAGAGCGGAGTCGACTTTAATGTTCACTAGACGCTGTCATGGAAAAACATTGGGATTAAGCCCTTCCATGGTGCATTGGACGTACATAATGGTAGCAAGGCCCATTATAACTTATTTATGGTATGGTGGCCAAAGATGATACAACGCTCTGCCTTTGCAGGATTAAGCAAGGTTCAAAGACTTGCTTGCCTGTCGATAACATGCGCAATGAAGAGCGCTCCAGCTGCAAATTACCTGGTGCACAGACAGGTCAAAAACTGAGCAAGGAATAGGTGAAGGTATATACGGGAACAGGTGCAATCGTGACCATAGTATACCACTTGGAAGACGGACCTCTGCATTTCAGGCAGAAGTGTATGCAATCGTGCATTGCGCAAGAGTAAATAATGAGCGAGTGTATAATAATAAAGGGATCGCCGTATATACTGAGAGTCAGGCGTCACTCATAACGTTAAAAAGCCCTAGGCAAAGTAACTTTGATGTGTGTGCCAGGACGTTGAGGAAACTGGTAAGGAAATGATCATCCACACCCTTTACAGGCCCAGAACCTGCCTTGAGGGTACCAAAATGCACAATAAGGAACCAAATCAAAGAATGGGTAAGAAATCAGCACAATAATCAGCCCTACATGTCTTATATGAGAGAGGCACTCTGTCACAAAATACATCAACTAGAACCGACGCAGCTTAAAACAGTACCGGCAGGGAAGTGGTACATATCACCAGGCGGCTGGATTGGGTACTGTAAATTCGAGGAGCAAGATACAATAAGCCCTAGAGGCTGCAGTGCCATCGAGGAGTTTGATCAGGTGGCTCCCGGGAAGGGAAAAAACTACAACTTGTTTAATTTTATTGCTTTAAAGCGCATTGCGATTAAATAAAGATTGCATGCCCGAGGGCACATAGAAGCGAGACGTCCCAAAAGTTGCAGAGATCTTCACGTGAATTTACCACTACAGTTCAAAGAAATACGCAGAACTTTCATCATTATTTTATGATATTGTGGTGTTTTAGTGTTTCCCCTAACCGAACATATGGCCAGAACGACTTATCTTACATCTGGGCCTCCATTGTACCCCTTTTCTCATGCCCTCGAATTTCTAAGGATGAACTGCGGAGCAGCGTGTTGACGCTGAAAGCTTATAGAGATTCACAAACAACTGGAAAGCCATTCTATACATTTCAAGTTCACATCTCGTGTAGCGCAAACCTCTACCTATGAAACCCAGGAGGGAGAAGTGATATGGTTTATTGTACTAGTTTCAATAGGCTCAAAAAGACTCTTCGCCATCATTAGTGCACAGCGAAGATAAGCAATCCTGCTGCCGTTTCATGTCCACTAAAGGTCAATTTAAACCCTTCTACGGCATCATATCCATACATTCAACTGTGTTACACTTCTATCGAACGTAATCGGATTAATTCATTATCTCATCTTGTGAGACTCATGTCTACGTTTTCATACGTGTCAAAAATGGCCAGGTTATGTGACTGGATACATTGTTCGCATGCAGACACATTCATGCTCGGTTGATCAGCGCTATAATTTAGCGAACAAATAGATTAGATAAAAAGTACAAGTATTCATATTAATAAAAATTTCAGATCTTAAAATTTCTATTGCCCTCTAAAAAATTACATACTTTAGATTAAACATTGAGATAGATGATCTGTACCTATTATAAAAGCATTGAGAACTCATGTTGAAATACAGTTATGCTTGGTGAATGAGTTTTAACGTTTCGTGCATGTTTTCATAAATACTGTTGCATGATTTATTTTTGAAAAGTTACATTAATTATTTTATGCTAAAAATGATGACGATCCACTAACAGAAAGAAATGAGTAATATTCGCTTTCATGAAAAATGTCAGTTGCTACGCTAAAACTAACAACATTTTTTTCTTACTTGTTCTTTTACACCTAAGCAGCCGCTCAGACAGAAGCCTAAATGCCAGAGCACCGCGGCTGCTATGAGGAGCTTGAAGAAACTTAGTTAATCCGATGTTTGAACTGCCCAAGATTACTAGAGCTAGGAAAAGCCTTCTAACGTAGATTGTTCCACAACCTTGACAGAGGAGCGGTCATACCGGCCAGTTCTGAATGTACTGAACTTGACACGGTTAGGATGGGAACCTGAAGTCAGGCGGGTCTGTCTGATAGGCACATCGCGCGAAAGGGCCCCGAGACTGTCCGTTAGAGAAGAGTCATCGATCAGTTTGACAGCACTGTAGTCAGGGCGGCAGCACTCCAAACTTGTGAGCCATGCTAGAGGCTAAACAATTAGCCCAACTTTTCCCAGCAGCTGCCGCTATTGTCGAAATGTATTCGTGCCAGATCAGTTCCTCGACGATCTGGACTCAGACCAGACGAAATGAATAGCTCTTTGGGAGGCCATCCATCGAAACCGGATGAGCGCAAGGCACTTCTTGTTCGTCGAGGTACAGTACTGTTTTGGAAGCATTGAACTGTACAAGTTTGCTGCGCCCCCAAACAGTGATAACCTCGAGGTCTCCCGTCAGAGAGGAAGTCGCTGACAGTCTTCTTTTCTCCAGCTTACAGCCAGATATCGGCTTGAGCGGATTGCTAATAATTATCATCCAGATTTTTATTTTCACTTACCAGTCGTCCTTCCTGATGAACGCATGCACATTTGGTAATGGAAATCCATTAAAGTCGCTGGATATTGATATGGAATATGCTCCAATATCATGGATCATCAACCAGTCACCAATATACAATTCTGGAAGGTAGATGATATCACCAGAAATCTTGTCATTGCTACAACACGTTGCCCCCCAAACAATGCTAGGCAGTTTGCGAGAGTTTGGCTTACGATTCTTCACTGGAGTCATGTCAAAGGGAACCTACAAAAAATATTTGTCAGGTAAATAGAAAAGTATACGTTAAATTACCCAATCTTTCTGGCAGTCTGCATTAATGCTTTTGTAGTTAGTCAATGATTAATTATCAATCTTACCTTGAAAACTACGTCAATCATCGAATTGTAAACACTAACATCCGTAAAATACATTCTTGCAATTTCCTGCCCATTGAGAACTTTTTTAGTGTGAACTTGCGTGATCAGTGTGAATGCTGAATTCACATAATACTGTCCTGGTTCTGCTATCACATCAATATTTGTCTCTGGGAAGTATCTATCAAGAACGTCATTGATGACTGCACCGACCTAAAAAAATTATTGCACTACTAACAAAATCATGTATCAAAAATTGACTATGGAATCAAACTGTCAAGCTATGGAAAAGTGGAAGAAGAAGTACAAAAACGAGTGAACATGGCGAACAGAGCAGCAGGATGACCCAACCATACAATCTCGAGAAACAAATTCCTCACAACGGAAACGAAAACTAGTATAAATCAACAATAAGAACGATAATGCCGTACACAGCGGAAACAAGAGCAGATACGGCGAAAACTCAAAGATTATTGGAAACAGCAGAAATGAAAGTCTTACGAAAAATAACAAACCAAACTCTAAGAGTAAGAACTGAGGAAATACGAGCGAGATGTGGTATAGAGGAAATAAACCTGTTGCAAAAAAGAAGAAAAATAGAATGGAATCAACACATAGAAAGAATGACAGAAAATAGAACAGTACGAATAGGAAGAGATAAATCGCCAAATGGAAGAAGATCAATGGGACGACCGAGGAAAGGACGGTCAGACAACATCAATTGAGGCTAAAAACCGAAGTAAAACAGGCATGAGCCTATTAATAAAGTAGGAAGAACAAGAAGAAGAAGAACTTTGTTAAGGAAATTAGGGCACTTTGGAATTAGAGTAAGTACTATAACTTTTTGTAGATCTTATCAGGGCGTAATATATAATAGGTTCAAGATCGAAGCCTACTCAACTCTATCCGGTGTTCCCCAGGGGCCTAAGTTGGAACCACTTTCATTCCTATTATTTATTAATGACCTCTGTGAAAATTTGAAATGTATGCAATTATTTTTTGCTGACATGAAAACATATTCATCTATAAGAGATACTCATAATTGTCTGAATTTACAGATAGAGTTGAATAGTATTCAGACTTGGTGTCAACAATTTACATCTAAATACCGACAAGAGCAAGGTTGTTAGTTATACTAGGAAAAAAAAACATTCATATTTTCAACTATAATATTGATGGTGCGTTGTTGAGTAGATGTGACACAATCAGAGATTTTGGTATTCTTTATCACCAAAGATAAACATTTCCCATTTTCTTATATTTATTATATTTTACATAATATATGTGTGTAGCAAACTTGACTATGCGAGTATTATATGGAGCCCGTATTACCAAATGTATATAAACGAAATTGAAAAGTTTCAAGGAAGGTTCCTTAAATTTCTTCATAAGAAGTCTGAGGGAGTTTATCCTGAGTAAGGATTTAGCAATTCAGAGTGGTGTGTGCATTTTCAAATTCAAAGCTTAGAATTCAGAAGAAAGGTTTAGTCTGCACTATTTCTTTTCAAACTATAATGACTCCCCCGATATTCTAGCGCAAATTAATATTAATGTACCTCCGCAATTATGTCACTTTTAAACCATCTAGAGCAAAACCAACCTATTGGTTAAGTCACCTGCGCATGTCATATGTAAAAATTTCAATAGAGTTAGTTGTCATTACATTATCTTCTTAGAACTTAAATTGATTATTTTCTTTCCAAACATTGTAGTAGACTATTAGTTTAGTTTGTTCATGTAATTGTATTGCAAATGGGTAACTTTTGGACAATAAATACTATTATTATTATTATTTCCATTAAACATAGCTTGAATTCAATAGAATGGCAGCAGCACTGTTTTAAATATATTTTTCCATATTACAACCTGTATTCTCAGTTTACAGGTTATCTATGAATTTTTTTTACATACCTCATATAAAGTAGCACCCTTATTACCGCAGAATCCTCCTCCGATGTCAAGCAGAGTGAAATGGAATCCTAGATCATCAGCCTCATCAAAAACTGTTCTTGCAGCTATGATGGCTCCATGGAATGCATTTAGGTCTGGATTGTGTCCTCTGCTCGAACCGATATGGAAAGACACTCCAATGACATTCGGATCTAAGTATCGAGCTACGGCCAGCAGTTGCTTGGCATCCTCGGGGTAGGCTCCAAACTTTTCACCTAGGTGAAATGTTGCAGTTGGATCGTCGTACCTTATTCGTAGAACTAATCTGAAAAGATTCGTCGTTCTGATCATGTTTGAAATAGCGCATGCAAGTATTTTTAAAATTTAAATACCTTAAGGCATACATTTGTAGTACTATCAATAATAATAATAATAACAGCTTTATTTGCAAATACAAATGCTATACAAAAGCTGTAAACCACTTGTGATACAAATAGCGTCAACCAAGTAAAAGTAACGATAAAATCTTGCTAGATTCAGTAATATTGTATATAACATGTTTTTATATACAATTTTTTTCAGAACTCCTGCTAAATGGTTAACTTGTTCTAGACAATTTTAAAGCGTGCCGTTTTCAAATGAAGCTAATCTATGCTTAGGATAAATATAGTTAAAAACTCTTGTGTGGTTACTTGTTTCATTAACTGTGAACAATTATTTTCAAATAGATATATGAGGCACTGTTGAATACACACTCCAAAAGCTATTAAAATAGCGTATTGCTATGTTTTTTAATATTCTCTTTTGTATCACAAAAATGTCATCAAAGTCACTACAGTTTCCGATTCACATAATTCCATACCTTAATCTAGATTCAGTGTTTCAGTGATGCACAACTTTCAAAGTTTTTCTATTTAAATATTAAGCAATAATTCATATCGAATAACATACCTAATTGAGCTTATTTCTTAAATAATATATATGGTTGTCCCACCTGAGGTAAGTATCTAATTCAAGAAATCTAGTATTGTCAGTCAGTGTTCCATTACGTCCTAATAGATTCACTTTATGCTTATGATTGCTGTGGTATGATTATATCCAAGAAAGTTCTGGACCTCTAACGCCGTATTTCTCAAATTTTTGCTGTAATATAATGTGATCTAGGTCATACGCTTTCGTTAGATTAAGAGAGATACCCGGTCCAAGTCTACCATAATATTCTGAATAAGCTGTAAGAGTTGATTTACTTTCAATAAACAGGTTGAGTTTCTTTATCAAATCATTTAGAATTAAAAAATTCAATATTCTGTTATTCATCACCATATAAAATATTTTTGAAAAAACTGATAAAAGATTATGGGTCTGAAACTTTCAAAATATGACAAATCGCCTTGGTTCTTATGAATTGGAATGACAAGTTATGTTTTTAATTGACAGGATAAATGCCATATTCCGATCAATTATTGATAATAAGTATCAATGTAATCAATTTTTCATGATTATGCTCGTTATCTCATCTTCACCACTACTCTTCTTATTATCTAGATAACTCATTTATTGTTCGAGATATAAACAAAAAAGTGACTATGAAAAATAAGGGCTTTTCAGAAACAAACGCCTTGTGTTTTTCTAAACAAAAAATAATTTTGCAGTGCCGTGATAACCGACCTATATTTTTCGAGGTCTAAATAAGAAATTTGGACATACTGCAGAGGGTGATTTTTATAATCTTCTTACAAATAATTTGTGGAAATTTTTTTATTTTCTTTGAAGACCAGAAAACATTTATTTACAGAATAGAAACAAAAATTCGACAACGTGTCTTCTGCACTATCGTTTCTATCGATTTCTATTTCATTAGTTGTTTATATTTTAAGAAACAAATAACAAATATTTATTACAAAAAAGACTTTTTTAATAAAATCAGAGCCTTAGACAGAAGATCAAGGCCCACAGAACCTACTTACAAAACCCCACTGTAGAGAACAGACAAGCCGACGTCGAGTCCAGAAACAAATATAACGAAGCGGTGCGCAATGCCAAAAACCAGCACGACATAAAAGTTAGGCACAGGGTAATGTCGCAGCGCAATGGCAGTCGGTCTTTCTGGACGCTGGCCAAGCAGATTGAAAAGAACTTCTCACACAGTAGCCTTCCACCACTTACGTGTCAGGATGGAACGATTGTATCGGACTCAAAGGCCAAGGTGGATGTCCTTGCCAAGATCTTTGCTGCCGTCTCCACCGCCCAAGTGTCGTCAATTCAAAGGGTTCCCTACACTATGCGGGAAGTAACAGTCAGGTATAAGACCGTCTCTGCCGCTGAGCTGAAAAATAGAAGACTAGCGACGACTTCCTCTCTGACGAGAGACCTGGAGGTTATCACTGCTTGGGGACGCAACAATCTTGTACAGTTTAATGCTGCCAAACCACATTAATGTACCTTGACGAACAAAAAGCGTCCTAAAGCTTATCCGGTTTCGATGGATGGCCGAGCTCTGCCAAAGTACTTTTCTCCGCATGACCTTCTCACTATATACAAGGCCCAGATAAGACCTAGCCTCGAGTATTGATCACACATTTGGGGTGCTGCCGCCCCGAGTACATTATCCATGCTCGGTGCTGACCAGAGGAGGGCTGTCCAACTGATCGATCTCGGGACCCTTTCGCACAGGCGGGCCGTCGGCTATCTAGCTCTCTTGTACGCGCTCTCTTCCATGATGCCGCCACGCGACGTGGCTGCTAGACAGACCCGCCTGACTTTGACCTCCCATCCTAACCATGTCGTGTTCGTTTTCGCAATCAAAAACAGTGTTTTGTGTAGAATGGACTGGGATATGTCTCGGAGTCCCTCAGAATGTTTTTTTTTTCTGTTACCAGCAATAAGTTTTTTATGTTTGAATCTTTAATATTATTACACTAGGTAATTATACATGCCACTTACATATTTTGTTCTCATATGATAAAATATTGTCTTTCTGAACATTTTCCCTGTTTTTTCAAGCTGGCCTTGACCAGATAGAACACAATGGATTTAAGGCGCAATAATGAGGTAAATTCTAGAAGTTCCACTAAGGTTAAAAAATGATGGCCCCAAATATCGTTTGCGCCCCCCCGAGACGAAATCCTGAATCCGCCCTTGTGAGTGACGCTTACGATTTGATACAACTTATAATCTTACCACCCCCCTTCCACTATTAACATTTTCGTCTGAGATATCTTAGCTGGTGTAGGTTGGCGCCAAACACGATGTTTTTGAAAATTTGACGTTCCTAATTGAGATTACGCACCTTCAATTTTTGTAAATAATTACCCATAGTCTCTATTCAGTGATTAATTATGAAGGAATACGAATTAAAATTTATTATTACTAATGATAATATCACTTTATCAGAGTCTGTGGATGGAAGTGATCATTTATTCGAAATGACGAATGAGTATACAACAGTTTTATTGTTAATTATAACTAATGAGTTCAGCTACATCAAAAATTTTCAACACATGGAAGTTTACATTACCTGATAAAAATTCCGTCGCTGTGGAAGTTGAAATTTCCTATTAACAAGAGTAATAAGTCAATATTCATCGATCCTAGGATCAATACCTCAGACTCATTATCTGTAAGATTAACAATACAGCAACAAATCCGAGTCTTAATATTTCACATATTTTAGGCAACATACCGATTTCAGCACTAATATTCACTTTGATTTTTTTTACTTTAGTTGTAATTATTGTTATATGCCTGCTTGAATATGAGTAATAATGAAAGATATATTTTTACAGGTAACTCTGGACATCCATTAAGAATCGGTCTTACCAGAAATACCATAGGGTGATGCACAGGAGTATTAAAATTTGTATTTTCTACTGTATCGAACATTTTAAATTTCCATGAAATAATGTTCATTGTCATATGCTTATGCTTAATGATAGCTCTGCTTTAAAAAGGTTTTATCAACCACTGTAAAGAAAAAGTTAATGTTTATAGAATTAGTTTTCTAGGAAGGTTTATTTTCACATGTCCATATTTAACAATATCTATTTTAGAGGATTTGGAACAAGCCTAAAAGTATGCTTTGAGTGAATATCAAGAAAAGTTGCAAGATGCATTTGTAACAAAAAGCACTGCCTTTTTAAAATATAGTTATAAAACTGCTGACCTTCTTTTTGTAATAGATCCCACAACTTTTTTTATCAATTTAAGCATTAATGGTACTAAATACAATCGTAAGAATTTCAAAAAAAACTCGGTGTTCCATAATCACTCAAACAGCCTAGAACTTCGCCACTTGTGAAGATTAGTACTAATCGCTAAATGTATTTCTAATGGGCACCAATTCTCTTTAAAAAATGTATCAAACGCATTTGTACAAATACATTTTTTTTTTGACACTCCTATTTTATTTTCGTCTATTTGTAAAGCAATTATTTTAAATACAATAAAAAAAATCTTATTGTCTTAAAAATATGTTGAGAGACAAACTGTTTATTGTATTAAAGAGTTATAAATGATTTATGGATTGGAGGTGCCATTAGAAAAAATAAGTCAGTGATTTTTATGAAATGATTTAAGAGAAGTAGTTTTAATACAAAAAAATAGGGCACTGTTACACAACAGCGATAGGAATAATATAGTAAATTGATTTGTGCAAATATCTTTTATTAAAATGACAAAGATTAGGTCACACAAGTAAACAATAATCATAAAAATACTTTATCCCTTCTAAATTTCAATCAGGTTTGAAGTTTTTAGATGCTTGACCAAATTTCTTGTGAAATTTTTGAAGTTATATTAATGCTGTCTCTGCCTGCATACAACTTTCGTGCACCCTGCCTAGCTATTTGTAATTCTATATCTGGTGGTGGCTCAACAGCTGAAGATGAAGGAGTTGGTTCTGAAAATCAAAAAGCTTTTAATTAATATCTGAAGTTAGGAAGCAATACCAAGTAGAAACTGAATTCATATGCAATTTTTCATTCTAAAACAAGATCATCACTAGTGAAAAATTAAAATAAAATTTTTTATTTTTTCCATTTGAGGCAGAACTTTGTACTTGTGATCAAGTGTTAGAAGATGATGTGGAGTGCCAGGAAGTAAAATCAAATTAAATGTGGTTTAACTAAGTGGGCAATAGAGATAGAGAATATAAATTGATTTTTCATTAATTAAAATTTATCCAGGAGTTATGTACTTACACTAAATGGAATTTGAAGTTCAGTATCTCCAAATACTGCTGCTGTTCCCAATATGGCCATATCTAATTCAGATAAGTTATCAACATTAGCACCTTCCACCAGTACCTGTAGCATCCTGCCTATATTGTGCAGCTCTAGATTGTATCCTATGTCTAAGGTCTATGCAATACTGCAAAAAAGATGTATTAGTACATGAATAAAACCTTATGGAACATGGAACAAAATGCTTTATTATAACCTACAGTACTAATCCAAGAAAATAACCCATGGAATCTGTGTAAACTATGTTTGCAAATATTAAAAGATGGTAGCAACTATTTGGAAAAATACAAATACATTGAATCAAGCAAACTATTTTCTACCAGTAGAGTACAAAAGAGTTTCATATAAAGTCTCGTCTAATAAGAATTGAATTACTGCAAAAATGGATAAACGTCATCGTTTCTCAAGTTACTTAAATAAAAAAAAGTTTTTGATAAAATATTGTGAAAAGGTAGTCTCTGGGAACAATTGTGCTATTACACCGTTAAAAATAATTTTCTATTAATCAACATTGCAACAGAATAATGACTATACCAAAAGGTTGTAATCTTATAATGAAAAATAAGATTCAACACAATTATAAAAATTATGAATTAGCGATGACAAAAGGATGAACAACAAAATGTAACATAAACTCACCCTTCTCCAGCATTGTAGCTCCAGATCCATGAGTATTCAGACATATCGCTAATTCGTCCCACTTTCTATTAATTGTCTTCTTTGATCTCCCTCGAAGCCCAACACTGTCCTTAGCTAAATTAGGATGAATTTCTGCAAAGACAAGTACCTCATCGATTTGCAATGTTGAGATTATATTTCATTTTGAAAATTAACACAAACACCTCCTAGTCAGACAAAATCTCAAACACAAATAAACACTATGTTCACGTTTTCTGATGCATTTGCAGCCTTTAATGAACAAGCAGTCATCTAGAACTATATAGGTAAGTGCCAGCAAGTGCTGATTGATTTAGAGAAACATCTGGCACTTGTCAATAGGCTGTTTTCACCCTCGCGTTATTTTGCATCGCTCTTTGTGTCTTGAAATAAGTCTTCAAGACTAATCTATGTGAAACTGTGTCATCTATTTGTCGACAAATGACTGTGTGTATATATTAACACTCTGACTGCCGGCATACTACGTAGTCGTGCCATAAGTTCTGTCCCATGATAATCTCATGATAAAAATGAAACAAGATAAGATACATTTATATGAAAGATATTATTTATTCGACAACATTTTTAGAATTCATAATCAAACAGTTTTATTCAAAATGTCCCCCCTTGGCCTTCACACACTGCTTCAATCTCGCGGGCCACTCATCTATCACTGCACGCACAGCTTCCAAAGGAATAGCTGCCGCTGATCGGATCAAATCCGCTTTCAGGGACTCGATATTACGGTGGGCTTTGGAGCAGGCCAACTGCTCTAGCAGGTCCCACAACTTGTAGTCTAAAGGATTGAGGTCCGGACTCCCTGAGGGCCAATCTTCCGCAGCAATGAACTCTGGCACATTGCTTTCCAGCCAGCGCTGCGTACTCTTAGCCTTGTGAGCGGGGGCGGAATCCTGCTGGTAGACCCAGTGTTGGTTGGCAAACAATGTACCACTTAAAGGCTTGACGATAGGATCCAGTATGTCGCTCTGATAGTTTGCCGCTTTTGTTTTCACGCCCTGTTTACAGAAATGGAGCTGAGTGACCCCTTCGTAGGACACCCCCCACCAAACCATGACTGACGCAGGGTGGTGGCCTCTCTCAACTCTCGGAATGATCTCCGAAGCTTCCTGTGAACTCCTTGCATACACTTTGTCATTTTGTCGGTTGAATTTTCCTTCTATGGTGAAGATTTTCTCATCCGTGAACAAAATCTTTCGGAATCCCCCAGCTGCGTACCTCTCCAAAAGCTTCTTGGATCTTGTCGCCCTGATGTGTCGCAAGGTGGCCGTAAGTCGCTGGCCCGTACGTCTCCGGTAAGCCCCTAGCCCTAGGTCTTGTTTAATGATGCGCGACATCGTCCGGACAGGAATCTTCATTTCCCTGGATAGGATCTTCTGCTTCCGGAGTGGATTCCTTTGAATCCTGGCTTTTACGGCTTTGATGGCTGCTGGAGTCCTTACTTGACGAGGTCTTCCGCTTCTTGGCCTGTCATCAACAGAGGACGTCTCATTGTACCGCTGAATGGTCCTAGACACAAATTTACGCGATATTTGAAGGCCGCGTAAGAGTTCAAAAATCTGACTAGCACTGTGATTACACTTATGTAAAGCTATCACTGCAATACGGTTCTCTGCCTTGCCCCACTCCATCGTTATGCTTCGAGAGATCAATACAAACTGAGGTATATGTAATTACCCGAAAAGCGCTTAATCAACTGACACCACAATGTAAACAATCGGACAAGTATTAACAGGTCTACACTTGTTTGAAAACGAGGGACAGAACTTATGGCATGACTACGTATTTTATTCTTGTTTTATTTTGTGCTGTCACTCGTTTATGACTGACATACTGTCAGGCATTATTTGGCGGCGGCAGTCATTTATGTCTGACAGCACCAGAATCATACATGGCCTCGTCAGGCTGTTTAGACTGACATTATATTTAATTGTTAATCTCCATTTGGATAACGGCGCTTGATTTTGTAAGTCTAAAAAACCTGGCGGCGCCTAAATAAAATTCCAGGTATTGTATTTTAACCAAACATTTTTATTTCAAACTTATTGTATTAGCAAGAAAAACCAAATATTTTTATTTCAAACTTATTGTACTAACAAGAAAAAATAGATAACTTAGACACTATGATTTTTAATATGAAACTCTTGACACATCGCAGGTTTCCCATCGCATCCATCGCAATATGTTCGTACTTTTCTTACTTTTTTTCTTGCTTCTGTTCTTGATATTTCTTTTTTTATATTGATATAGCATAGTTTACATTGTTTTCGAGTTTTCTCCTCTGATTTTTTCAATAAATGTGCAACTTTTACAGTTGTTAGGCTGGTTATACTAGCATTATTTCGAAATAATAAAGTCCTGGCCACATCTTCTCTGAACTTATTTATGTTTGATTTAGATTTGGAATGTTCTTTGTATATATTGAATGCATTTACCATCGACATGCCCGTCAGCAACTCAAAAAATACCTTTCGGTACCATTTGACGCCTCGTCGATTGCATGTACTGTAGGACGCCATTTGGTCGGACTTGTCAATACCACACTTGCCATTATTATAAGCAATAATTGCGTCTGGTTTCAATGTTGGCGTTTTGTTTGTTTCTTTTTTGGAGTGGGCTCCTCGTTACTGCAGCTTGGAGAAAATGCTCTCTTTCGTTTACTCGAAGGTGGCGGAACTCTCATGCCAATTTCGTGAACTGTAGATAACATAAGTACGTCCCTAGCATCTTTCCATTTGGAAACGACGATCCCATCATTAGTTTCTCGCGCAATGTACTCATGTTTTTTGAGCTTCTTGGTCGTGACATCTTTTGCGAGGTATTTCTGGACCGTCTAAGCGTACCTACTAGATGTGTACTTTTGATTAGAAGAATTCTGGCTAATGGACAACTAGTATAAAAGTTGTCAGTATACAGAATTCTTCCTTCGTTCAATAATCCTTCAGTCAAGGTCCCCCCCCAAGTCCAGCAGGACGCTGTTCTTCACTACGGCCAGTATAAATTAGATATTTCCATGTATAACCATTTGGACTGCATAATTTAAAAAGTTTTACCCCGTATTTGTGACTCTTGGATGGTATGTACTGGCGAAATTTCAGTCTGCCTCTCCATGGTATTATGTTTTCATCTATTACCATTTCTTTTCCAACTGTATAAGTCTGCTGAAAAGAGTTATTCAACATATAATAATAATAATAATAATAATAATAATAATAATAATAATAATAATAATAATAATAATAATAATAATAATAATAACCTACTGAAAATGAAAAAATAAATACAGATGGTACCCAACTCGAGATAAACTCTCAGCCTGGCCCATCTGGTATGGAAACAACATCGTTAGACTTAAATAAGAAACAAAGACAGAAATGGACGATTGAACAGTACAAAGATGTTATGCGCTGCTACTACTATGCCAAGAGTCACGAAAGAGGATCAACGACAGAAAACACATATAGATTATGGAGGAGAGAGAATCCAACATTATTCCCTCACATTAACTCGAAAACACTGGCTAACCAAACAAGGTACATAATCAACAGTAATAAGCTAAGTACTAGTGAGATTACAAGTATAAAGGAAAAAGTAAAATTAGCAATTGCTGTATCTGAAGCAGCAACCGATAGCCCTATACCAACTCATGGGCTTCCACTACAAATAGATACTCACCATGAACAGCGCTCAAATACAACTAATACATACACACAGATCAACAATACTAGCCTATTATATGCATTCTCAAACAGATCCAGAAATAGAGAAGAACTGGAAGACAAAATTTATGAAAAACTGAAAGAAATTAGAGGACTCACTTCAATTACACAACGAAAAGCGCTGAATAAGGTAGAAGCCACCAAGGCGCTTCAAGTAAAAATTGACAACGTGAACGTCATATACACCAGAATAGCTCAAGAGCATACTCTAAGTATTCAAGACATTAATGACCTGATGTACGCTGCTGCCGCTGTAATTGCAGGTGAAGTAGAACACAGAACAAACACTGTACGAGATACAAGAGAGCCGTCATGGAAGATCAGAATAAAGAAGCATATAGATGCATACAGATCGGAACTAGCAATATTACATGAATATAGGAAAGGAGTCCCCACTTATAACATTCTAAAGAAAACGGAACAAATATGGCAACGCTACAACTCGTACACCAACATAGATGAACTTGAGTTAAATATAAAAATGAAAATGGAAGCAAAATCACAAAGGTTAAAGCGATATACGGAACGAAGCAACTATTATTTTCACAATAAGACTTTCAACTCTGACGCAAAAAAATTCTTCAGACAAATTAATGGACAAAGGAATGTTAGCAATGAACCACCGACACCGGATGATATTGCTAGCTTTTGGAAAGGTATATACCAGAATAAAGCAAGCTTTAACAAGAATGCTGAGTGGATAAGGCAAGAAGAAAGCAAATACCAAAGTATTGAAGAACAACAGTACGTCAAGTTAACGACACCAGAAATAACCACAATAATAAAAGGCACAGATAATTGGAAAGCACCGGGACCAGATAGGTTGCAAAACTTTTGGATCAAAAAATTCTCAGCCCTTCACAGCGCAATGACAGCTGCCATCAATCACATTATTGAACATCCAGAAGATGCACCCTCATGGCTCACATCCGGAACTACAGTGCTCTTATCCAAAGGAAAGAATACGAAAGACCCCAAAAATTATCGCCCTATAACGTGCCTGAGTACAATGTACAAGATAATTACAGCAGCGTTAGCTAACAGGATTAACGAACATCTACTTAACCACAACATTTACCCTGACGAGCAAAAAGGAAGCAGGAAAGGAACAAGAGGGTGTAAAGATCATCTTTTAGTCAGCAAAATGGTAGTCAGTGTGGCAAAAACACGAAGGAAAAACTTATGCATGGCCTGGATCGACTACCGTAAAGCGTTTGATAGTCTACCGCATGAATGGATTATGAAAGTACTGCAACTATATCGAGTTTGTCCAACTATACAAAGGTACATAGAATGCTCAATGAAAACATGGAAAACCGAAATGCATCTATATCACACTAAGGGATGCATAAAAACCGGACATATAGGCGTTCAGCGAGGCATATTTCAAGGCGATTCTCTCTCCCCCCTACTGTTTTGCATGTCACTAATTCCACTGACCAGTATGCTTAACAGAGAAAAGACTGATTTTGTTATAGACGCAAACAATACAGTTAATCATCTGTTATACATGGATGATCTGAAATTATTTGCCAAAAATGAGAACGATTTGCGTCGCGCTTTAATGACAGTGAAAACATTCTCGGATGATATAAATATGCAATTTGGACTGGATAAGTGTGCAACAGCAATATTCAAAAGGGGTAAACTCACTAAGGCACAGAATATAATTCTAGATAAAGCAACAACAATAATGAACATGGAGCCTGAAGAAACCTATAAATATCTAGGCATTGAAGAAGCAGATGGAATCGAAGATGAACATGCCAAATCCAGAATATCGAGGGAGTATTATCGTCGTGTGCGCCTGATTCTTAAGACAGAATTATGCTCCAAAAATAAAATATCTGCAATCAACTCTTTCGCTGTGCCTGTACTAAGTTACAGCTTTGGAATTGTCAATTGGCTGAAGTCAGATATTCTGAGAATAGACCGGAAAACCAGGAAGCTGCTGACAATGGCACATATACACCATCCCAAGGCTGACGTGGACAGGTTATATGTAAAGAGGCGCAATGGAGGACGCGGAATGGTAGAAATTGAAGCTCTATATGAAACATCTATGGTTGGTCTCGGAGAATATATAACCCAAGGGAAGGACAAACTATCAAAAATAGTGAAAGAATGGGACAATGGCCTTTGCAAATACTCCATCCAGAAAGAAATAAAGAAGATTATGTCGGAACGTCTAGGAGGCGAAGACCCGACTAGAAACTCAATCGACAAGATCAAGAACGTCGCTGAAAGTGGCAGACTAGCAAAAGTAGCCTCGAAACCATTGCACGGACAGTTCTTCCGACAACTCGAGAGAACAGAGGTAGATAAACGTGGAAGTGTCAGTTGGATGAGAAGCTCTACGCTGAAAGCGGAAACAGAAGCTCTGATAGTATCTGCACAAGATCAAGCATTAAATACAAGGTACCACCAAAAGTATATACTAAAACAAAGTACAGACAGTAAATGCAGAATATGCGGGCAGTTCGACGAACACATCAGCCATATAGTAGCAGGTTGCCAAGTACTAGCCCCTTCAGAGTATACCGCTAGACATAACAATGTAGCTAGTTACGTTCACTGGAAAATATGTGACTCGTTTGGTATTCCAGTTACAGATAAATATTATCAACATGAAATCCAGAGTGTCACCAACATCAAGAATGACACCACTGATGTATGTATTATGTGGGATGTGCCGGTAATAACGGATCGAACAATAAAAGCAAACCGACCTGACATTATAATTCATAACAGAAAGGAGAAAACATGTCAACTAATTGATATAGCGGTTCCCGACGATTCCAATGTAAAATCGAAAGAAAATGAAAAGATATCTAAGTACAGAGATCTCCAGATAGAAATACAGAGAATGTGGCATGTGAAAGCTTGGATAACTCCTGTCGTTGTCGGTGCATTAGGAACTATCACCAAAACCTTCCACGGAAATTGTGACTCAATACCCGGTAAACCAGCACTCTACCAAATTCAAAAAACGGCACTACTAGGAACAGCGCATATACTAAGGAAGGTGCTTGGATAGTCTCTTTGATATCTGGTTGATATCTGGTCTATCCTTTATTACCAGACAGATACGTCTGTGGAAGAAAAAAAAAAAAAAAAAAAAAAAAAAATAATAATAATAATAATAATAATAATAATAATAATCGTCTTTATTTAAACTGTACTTCATACAGAAAAACAAGAGTTGCATATGGTGGCGAAGTTTAGCAACATGCTACTCTTACACTTAACCACCCATGCAAAAAAAACAAGTTGTTAAGTAGCAGATATCAAACAAAATATACATATATACTTACACATGTACATACATACATACATATACACACATTACATACGTACATGTTGCACCAAGGTTTGCTACATGTACACATGGGAAATGAATCATTTAACAATATATCTATAGCAATCTAATTAAGACTATGGATCCAAGTAAATATGAGATTTGACAGCTTTCTTGAAGCAATTTAAGGACATGGTTTTGAATTCAGGACTCAAGGCATTGTATAACACTGAAGCCCTGTACGTGAAAGAACGCTGGAATAAAGTAGTGGAGTGAATAGGTGTAGTTATCAAATCTGGAAATCTAATAAGTCTATGATGAATATTACGCCTAAAGATCAGCTTTTCTCTTAAGTATATAGGTTTTGACATAAGGATTAGTTTATGAATAAAAACAAGGTAATGATATTTGACAATATTTTTTGTTATCATCCAGTTTAATTCAATAAGACTACCAGAAACATGGTCAAAGCGCCTTAAACCGCAGATGAACCTAGCACAATTGTTTTGCACAATTTGAATCCGATTTCTAGTAACAACATTGAGACACGGATAATATAAAATATCACAGTAGTTGAAAATCGGCATAACCAAAGATGAACACAGTTTTTTCCTTAGTTTATAATTGAAAATTGCTTTATTGGCATATAGTGATCTCAGTCTCAAGAAGGTTTTCTTCAAAAGATTTTTAACATGACTGGTGAATCTAAGTTTGAAATCGATTATCACGCCAAGAATTTTAACCTCGTCAACGGGGTACAGTCGTTGAGATCCAATTTTAATAGTTAATCGACTTTTAATTTCTTCCCTCCTACGATCCGAACAAAAAAATAACAGGCTGGATTTACCAGGATTTATTGACAGGTTGTGGTTATTCGAGAAGTCATACACTTTTTGAATATCATGGTTTATTGATGTCTGTGCCATTTCCATATCATCAGTATCAAAATAATGGACCAGTTGAGTATCATCCGCAAAAGACTGGAGTTCACAAAAACTCACAGCCTTAGGCAGATCAGCAATATATATCAAAAACAACAAGGGACCCAAAACAGACCCCTGGGGTACTCCAGACGAGATTTCTAGAAAACTAGATTTATTGTTTTCAATTGATACACTCTGCGATCGATTTGATATATAATTTCGAAAAAAGTTCAATGCAATTGGATCTATGCCATAATACTTCAACTTTGCTATTAACAACTCATGATTTATTTTGTCAAATGCCTTGGAATAATCGATTGACATCACTGCTACGCCCATTTTTTTATCAAGTGCTCTAATAATATTATCCACTAAGTTTAAGGGGGAAGTAGTAGTACTGAAAGATTTCCTAAAAGCAGACTGATCAGATGGGATGATATGTTCCTCTGCATAATGCATTAGTTGTATGTGGGCTGCCTTTCCAACTACCTTCGATAAACAAGGCAATAGGCTTATAGGCCTTAGATCAGCAAACTCATCTGGATTTGATTTTTTTGGAACTGGTACAACAATTGCTCGCTTCCACGTTTCAGGGAAATAACCTCTTTCAAGGCAACTATTTACAAGGTGGGTGATGTACATGAGAGTAACAGGCAGACTGAGCTTAATCATAGACAAGCTCAACCCATCAGTACCTTTTGCATCGGACTTAAAACTAGAAATTATTTCAGCTACTTCATGAGGCTCTAGAAGCCTGAAAGAAAATTTATTAATATGGGGAACATTTTCGTTATAATACCGTAAAACGTGATCAGGAGCATTTGTGGAATCAAAAACTGATATGAAATAATTATTTGCAAGGAACGAGTCTGCAAGATGGTTTGGAATACGTGGCTTATCAGATGTTTGTGCTTTCATATTTTTCAATTCATACCACAATTTTCTCTGATCACGCCCTTTTTCCATATCAAGAACAGGTCTGATCTTGTACAGTCTATCATTGTTATTCTCGAGTTCCCTGCTGCTAAAATGAATCATCCTCAAAAGCATTTCGAAACGATTTCTTGATAATACTTGAGATACTTGATTTTTATATAATACATCGGTGGACCAATATGATGCAAGAGTAGGTCGACTATTTAGACCCATCCAAATATATATAAACCAACAAATTTCTGAATTTCCAGTTCATTTGTAGGGTTCCATTGATTTAGTCTTGATTTCCGAGTTAGTTTTGTATTCGAAATTGTAAATTCCGCATAGCGGTTTGTTTCTTCCACTATGAGAGCTATTAGATCAGACGAAAAAAATAGTTGAAATGCATTGAGGGGTGCAAAATTGTCTGCTGCATCTACTTGAATACCTTCATTACCGCTGAATTGAAATGTTTGATGATTCCCAGAGTAGTCGTACCAAACAAAATCAAATTGTTTATTTGAGGGATCTAATATTGTCGGCTCGGGTTCGTGACCTTCATCCTGTATTAATTCGTCATCATCTGATGAACTGGATTCATTATTGGACTCCCCACTCAACTCGCTGCCAGAGTTATTGTAATCGGGATCAACATCTGAGAAGTCGGAAAAATCCGTGAACTCCCCGTCCTCCTCGGTTATTTTATCCACTTCTTGCTGAAGTTCTAGAGAAGAAAGTGACTTTCTCAAATTCCAACTCCTGTAAAAAAAGATATTTAATGTTTCTATTTTCGAATATTTAAACTTTATCGTACGCATACACACAAACATACTTACACACATCTAAACAATACTTACATTATGTTAGTTATTGAGCAAACAGTGATGTTCACAAAATTGAAAAAATATCTTGTACTTCCACGCCATGTCAGTCGATTCTGGAAACACCAACAAACGTGACATATACGTGCTCAGTGCTAAATAAACACTGAATATGCATCATCCGACGTATAATCGTATCCCCGCCATCCAAAACAACGCGCGGCGTGGCGGCAGTCGAATGCACGAAATGACCACGGCGCAAGTTGGGTTTTTGTTGTCAGTCGAAAAAGACTGACATGGCAGTCAGACTGTTAAGTGTGTATCGAGGGTCCACTCTTAACTTATGTGAACATCCATACATCTGCGGCTGCTCACACAGACATTCATTTTTAAGAACAGACCATCGTATTATGTACTTACGTGTTCAATTTTCAACAAAACTAGGTCCCATAGTTAATTTTAAATTCACAATCACGATCCACAATGTATTTATTATTTTTCGATTTATAAACACGACGATTGTTTATCATTGGAATGAGCGAAACGTGTGTAAATTACAAATTGACAAACAAAAATTTCTTGTTTGTCAATTTGTAATGTTTTGTGAGTTTTTTTAAAGTAAAATAGTGTAGTTCCTGATAGATCCTAGTCTCAAAAACCTGTGGAAGTGTTTGATATCCTGAGTTCTCCGTATTGGCTCCAAAAACGCCGTTTGTAACATCTTTGTTTTTGTATACCTGACCTGGACCTAACCTCTCAGCAAATCCGATCAGCAGTTTCGCAGTGTTGCCACCTTTAGTTTTTCCCTGGTCTGAACCAATTCTCCCATCTGCCCTAAGGGAAGACATCTCCAAAAGAAGAAGATATTTATAAACAAACAAAACAATTTTATTATTGTTTTTGTTTTAATAATTTTCAATGGCTAATTGCTTTAAGTGCAATATTGAATGTATATTTAAGGAGGATAGAGAGAAGATCAGAACTTTTGGCTATCCCTGTGACTTATGTAACCGAGTCATATGTGAAAAATGCAACTCTCTACAAGCGCAAGAAATTAGAGTAATCCCCAGTTCTAATAGGACTTTAGTCTACACCTATCCTGAATGTAAACCGCTCTTCAAAGAATCACTACAAGCATTTAAGCAAATTCAATCCCTACAGCAGGAAATCTCATTGCATAAGAAGGAGATTTCAAATCTCAAGGCGAGAGTAAAGAATACTGAAAATGAACTGCAACTGAAGGCAAATAAGGCTGATATGGACAAAGACAGGGCTGCAGTGAAATTAGCTAATGATGGATTACAAAAATCTCTGGAAGACTTATCCCTAAAAAACAAGGATGGCAACTTTTCAGACAAGAATGCACTATCCATCACTTTTTTATTGCACGATAAACTTGACGATAAATTGTTGTTCTTCACTGAAAAGATCAACAATGAGCTAACCAAATCCTTGAGCTCACACCTTAACTTGATCCAGGAAACTAATAAGGAACTTCTCAATTGCATGAAGATTGAGATGAAGACATATGCAAGTAAGTTGTCCAAGCCCCCAATAGTCCCAATAGTAGAAATCACACAAGAGCAAACGAGTAAAGCTATCAATGATGCATTGGTTTCTATCAATGGCCCTCCAAGCTCAACTGCAGTCTCCATTAAACCTGGTCCCATCAAGCAATCTGAACATTCAACAGGTCCTAAACAACTTGGTAACTCTAACACTCTTGTCAGGGGTACAAACAAAACTTCAACTGGAATTGTAGCAGCGGAGGAACAGTTCTGGTGTTATATAGGCAACCTGGAAGCAGGAACCACAACTGATCAATTAATAAATTATCTTAAGTTCAACAACATTGAAGCCTTAACCTGTGAGAAACTGTCGTCTCAGAACCAACATGTGGCATCTTTTAAGCTCTCCGTGAAACCTGGTGTTAAGAATACATTATTTAATAGCGACATATGGCCTGAAAATGTGATTGTCAAGCCATTCAATTTCCCTAGAAGAAATCAACCATTACCATCAGCACAAGGTAGACGCTTTTTTAAAAGGCAGGCCCAGCCACGGCGCAGGAATTAACCCTATCAATGATATTAGGATTTATTACCAGAACATTAGAGGCATCAGAACTAAATTGAATGAATTTTCAAACAATGTGTCCATGGCATCGTATGATATAATTATACTTAGTGAAACCTGGTTAACACCAGAGTTTAATGACTCGCAACTAGGGCTACAGAACTACTCAATTTATAGATGTGACAGAGACAACATAGCAACAGGCAAATCGAGAGGAGGAGGTGTTTTAACTGCGATCAGAAAAAGTTTAAAATCGCACCAAGTCGAATGGAGGAATTTGACATCTGGGCATGAAGAGGTGTGGGTCTCTGTATCTATTGGTAAAATTAAGTCCACCTACTTCTGTGCAGTATATTTTCCTCCCCTTAGCAATTTGGTGGAATATGAAAATCACTGCAACAATATTGAAAACTTCAGTGATAGCTCTGATGTCATGTACATCATGGGAGATTACAACCTGCCCCATCTTCAGATGTTGGATGAAACCAACCTCCATGATAGTGGTATTGGTAGACGGAATGCCTCCGGTGATCTTCTTGTTAGCTCCATGCTGTTTTCTAACTGCACTCAAATAAACTCGATAAAAAATTGTAACAATGTTTTACTAGATCTTGTATTTACCAATAATTCTAATTTTACTAAAGTAAATTGTGCTAATGATATACTTCTGCCATGTGACAAACATCACCCAGCATTTGTTAATATTAGCTCTTATAAACCTTTACAATTTGAAGAACAAATCTATGATTTTAAAAATGCAGATTTTAATGTAATCAACAATTTATTAATTAATTTTAACTGGGATGCCTTATTGGTTGATCAATTGGATAATGATGTTGAATGTTTTTATGCTGTTCTCTATGATTGTATTGATACTTATGTGCCAAGATTGCTAATAAAAAGTAATTTTAAATTTCCTGCATGGTTTAGTCCTGAACTCAAAAGTATGATTTATGAAAAAAAAGAGCTGCATGCAAAATATAAGAGAACTAATTCTAATATTGATTATGGTTTATTCTGTCATTTACGCAGATTGTGCAAAGAAAAGGTTCACCAAGATTATAGTCTTTATATAAAAAATATTGAGAATAATCTAAAAGGTAATATTAATGTTTTCTGGAAGTTCATTAAGTCTAAAAATAATCAAAATAGTAATCAATTGTTAAGTATAATGAGGAAACTTTTGATAGCGGCAAAGAAATTGCAAATGCTTTTGCTAAACATTTTTCTAGTGTATATGAAACACCAAGTCCTTCACAGAGCCTTAGCACTGTTGCAAAAAGTTTCAGCTCGCCAAACTTAAATTTGAGCAGTGTATATATAAAAATTTCTGATATTTGTGAAAAGCTGGCTAGCCTGGACTTGTCAAAGGGACCGGGTCCTGATAGTGTGAGTGCATCGACTTTGAAACAAGGATAGACCCAGCAAGTCATTCATAAAACTACATTAGATTCGTTGACGACATAAACAAAGCACAAAGTCGTGGTGAGGGGCTATGAGGGAATGAGAGGGGAACAATAAAATGGCCGCCGCATGAGAATTCAGGTTGTGAAACCTCACGTCACTGAAGACTCTATAATCAAATCCAAGCGAATAACCAAAATTTCTGTGTTATGTGCCGCGGTTATAATATGGTTCAAGATGACAAACGGGTTGATGACGTCAGTTACACGAATCGCTTGAACGCGTTGGTTTGAACCGCGGTTTTGTTGCAAGTTGTTTATTTTAGAAAAGCGCGTATATAATCTCTGATTATTTTTATTATCACTTAATAATCGGTGCTTTTTCGTCTACAACTGTGTATGGAAAGTTTAAATAAGAAACCTTTCATAATATTCATGGGAGAAATGTTTTTTCAGATTTTTTTTAATGATGGAACCATGGCTTTGTAGCTATGATAACTTTCAGTCTCTAAATTTTTCCGCATGGCAAAGAATACATTTATTGATTCAGCAGAAATGATGACAAAAGAAATTAGCAAAACCGTATACAGGTAGATATCATCTAGTGAGTTTATATGGCCATATTTTAATATTCTTGTGGTATATGGCTACACACAATACTTTGTTAAGCATAGGAACTACATTTAAAGTGCCCCCAACAACCGTAATGAGTATAACTAATAAGGTGCTCCACTTTATGGTAAAACTGAAGTCAGCCTGTATCAATTTTCTCAAAAATGAAGCTGAAGTACAATAACAATATCCAATACCCGCCAAAATTCTAACTTGTCACATTTCAAATAATAACCAGAAATATAAAACTACTCTTGAGTTGGGTAAATACCACAATTTTGCGGTGATAACTATGACATATAACAGCTGATTCGTGACGTCACGGATCTTATAACCAAACTGATAACTACACTCGCTTGAACGGATCGGTAAATACCAACCCAAAATGGTAAATACTATTTCCATTTGGTTATCCGCTTGAATTTGATTTATGTATAATCATTGGTACAATTACACATAGGCGTAGCATATAAGCATATAAGGGTGACAAAATAAGCGTATTTAAATCAAGAGCATCACAAAAAAAAACGGTACGAAGTTGTGTACTAACAAATATATTACTCATATTTGTGCAATATCTAGTTCAATTGGAATACTTACGTGAACTCTATTGAGTGAGCAGGATACAAAAGCCTTTAAAATAGAAACTCCAAGTTATTATGTTCTATTTTTATTCATACACATATATATATATATATATATATATATATATATATACATATATTGCAAAATGTAACAAATCAGGGAACATGGAATGATTATCGAGACCCCAAATAAGTTTTAATATAATCACATAGCTCATTTTCATATCTTCATTCATAAAAATACACTAAGTATCAGCTGAAATGTATATATCGAGCAGTTTATCACTTTTGATATAATTTTTATGTGTTACTATGAAAACATATTGGGTACACATATTAAATAGACATATAATAATTATAACCAAAATAGTAGCAATCATATAAGAACAAAGTTTTGAATATAAGACAAACCTAGGCTATCTAAAAACTAAAACAAACGTTATTAATCCTCTTATCACCTATTAAACTGTAAACCAATCATTCTGTATGTTGCAGCATTATGTATTACAGGATGGAAAATTAACTTACAATACACCAATATGCAGCCAATAAATGTTCTGCCAGATGTTGAAAAAGTTTTTGAAGAAATTATTTACGAACAGATCATCGAATTTATTGAGAGAAGTAACATTTTAACCAAATTTCAAGCTGGATTCAGGACACAAATGGTTTTAGAGGACTGGAGGAGATGTATAGACAATCGGAAACATACAGTAACAGTGTTTTTTGAACTTCAAAAGGGAGTTTGGCTATTGAGAGGGATAAATTACTTACAAAATTGCATCACTACGGATTTAAAGGATCTGTATTAAAAATTCCACAAAACTATTTAATTGACAGAAGTCAAAAAACCAAAATTGGATCTACATGATCAATATCAAAGAATATTTCTTTTGGTATACCACAAGGTAGTAAACTAGGTCCACTACTATTTATTTTATACATTAATGACATTTGTAATATTTTAGATTATTGTAAACTTCAGATATTTGCAGATGATACATTAATATACATATCAGATGAAAATATAGACACTGCTTTAAAAATGCTAAATTCTGACTTGGCAAAAATCGTATTTGGTTAAATGTAAATAAACTAAAATTGAATACTTCTAAAACAAAATGTATGCTAATAGGGAAATACCTAAATGAAAATACTATCACAGTTAGGATAAATGGAGAAATAATTGAAAATGTTGCATCAATTAAATATTTAGGTATATACAGGGTGGCCAAACACGTGACGTCATAAAAAAAAAATTAGATTCCCCACATCGAGAGGAACCCAAATCATCCCCATATATATGGTCCGATTTTGTTTAGTTTAGGAGTTATGATTTTTTTTCGGATTTTTCGAGAATTTTTGAGTTCTGTGCTTATTTTTACCATAACTTCGTTAATAATTGTGATAAATGCCTGCTTTTTTCACGATTATGTAGCTAAGACCTAAGGCTTAACTATCATATAATCATTCAAGTCATGTAACTAATACTACTTTTTAATTTTTTTCAAAATCTTCGAACATAACAAAAAAGTAAAAAAGTGCAACAACTTTGAATGTTTATAAAAAATTGAAAAAACACGTTCTTACTATTCGTAAGTATCTTAAAAACTTCCTTACGGTATCAGCTATTTACCGTAAAAATTTCATCAACCTAGCTTTACTACATGCTACCGTAATTGTGGCTCAAATAGAACCGAACCCAAAATTGGATAACCCTCTGCTCAATAGAAATTGTTAGTTTCGGAAAAAAAATTGCAAAAACCACAAAAACACGTTTGATTTTTACTGAACAGCAGATTATTATTCATTTATGTTATTTATAAGAGGTTTTCAAAATGTCTGCCTCTAACAGAAATGCACAGTGTACACCTACGTATGAAATTTTGTTTTAAATCTCTAAATGCTTGTGTGTTGTTTTTCAACACATGTGTCGCTTCTTGAATTTTGTTCCTCAATGAATTTTCATTTGCACATTCTTGGGCGAATGTTATGTCTTTAAAATATCCCCAAACAAAAAAATCAATGGGGTTGAGGTCAGGGGAGCGTGGAGGCCATCGTATCGGTCCGTTTCGTCCGATCCATCTGTCTGGGAACCTTTCGTTTAAGTAGTTTCGCACGATCGTTGCGTTGTGGCATGGTGCACCATCATTCTGGAACACCATGTTCCGTCTGGCTTCCAGGCTTGAATCTTCCAGCAATAATGGTAGGCTATTTTCAAGGAAGCTTTTGTAGGCTACCGAATCCAACCTTGACGGCAGTTCAAATGGACCGATAAATTCCATATTGAATATTCCTGACCACATGTTCACACTAAAACGGTGTTGAAATGTCGATGCATTATTATTATGGCGTTGCTCAAGGCAACGGCGCTTTAGCAGCTCAGCTGTACCGGGAACAACTTATACGCCGAGGCGGACCACAACCTGAGCATTACCCAGACCACCGTGTTTTTATTAACACACATAACACTTTCATGGCAGGCAGCATTCCAGGACGAGGAAGCAATGAAGGATATCCTACAGCTGATCCGGATCGCAGAGAAGTAGTACTTGAAGAAATTAGCCGGAATCCCTCAACGAGTACGAGATCTATGGCACAAAACCTTAGAATACCACGAACATCGATACAAAATATTCTTCATGAAGAAGGTTATCATGCCCATCATGTTCAAAGAGTTCAAGCGTTGATGCCTTCAGATTACCAGTTAAGAGTGGATTTCTGCGAGACAATGCTGCGAAGACAACGAGAGGATCCCGTTTTTTTTGATAAAATTTTATGGACTGACGAGTCACGTTTTGAAAGAACAGGGATATTCAATATCCATAATTTACATACTTGGGCTGTTGAAAACCCCCACCAGTCAAGGCCGTCGACATTTCAACACCGTTTTAGTGTGAACATGTGGTCAGGAATATTCAATATGGAATTTATCGGTCCATTTGAACTGCCGTCAAGGTTGGATTCGGTAGCCTACAAAAGCTTCCTTGAAAAAAGCCTACCATTATTGCTGGAAGATTCAAGCCTGGAAGCCAGACGGAACATGGTGTTCCAGAATGATGGTGCACCATGCCACAACGCAACGATCGTGCGAAACTACTTAAACGAAAGGTTCCCAGACAGATGGATCGGACGAAACGGACCGATACGATGGCCTCCACGCTCCCATGACCTCAACCCCATTGATTTTTTTGTTTGGGGATATTTTAAAGACATAACATTCGCCCAAGAATGTGCAAATGAAAATTCATTGAGGAACAAAATTCAAGAAGCGACACATGTGTTGAAAAACAAAACACAAGCATTTAGAGATTTAAAACAAAATTTCATACGTAGGTGTACACTGTGCATTTCTGTTAGAGGCAGACATTTTGAAAACCTCTTGTAAATAACATAAATGAATAATAATCTGCTGTTCAGTAAAAATCAAACGTGTTTTTGTGGTTTTTGCAAATTTTTTTTCCGAAACTAGCAATTTCTATTGAGCAGAGGGTTATCCAATTTTGGGTTCGGTTCTATTTGAGCCACAATTACGGTAGCATGTAGTAAAGCTAGGTTGATGAAATTTTTACGGTAAATAGCTGATACCGTAAGGAAGTTTTTAAGATACTTACGAATAGTAAGAACATGTTTTTTCAATTTTTTATAAACGTTCAAAGTTGTTGCACTTTTTTACTTTTTTGTTATGTTCGAAGATTTTGAAAAAAATTAAAAAGTAGTATTAGTTACATGACTTGAATGATTATATGATAGTTAAGCCTTAGGTCTTAGCTACATAATCGTGAAAAAAGCAGGCATTTATCACAATTATTAACGAAGTTATGGTAAAAATAAACACAGAACTCAAAAATTCTCGAAAAATCCGAAAAAAAATCATAACTCCTAAACTAAACAAAATCGGACCATATATATGGGGGTGATTTGGGTTCCTCTCGATGTGGGGAATCTAATTTTTTTTTTATGACGTCACGTGTTTGGCCACCCTGTATATTGATAGTAAACTAAAGTTTGAGGATCACTATGAATACATTATTTCAAAAATTGCCAATAAAAAAAACAAAGTACTTTTATAGAGCTTCTCATAGTTTTGGTACCTATTCCTAGAAAATAGTTTATAATACAATTATTTTACCGCATTTACTATACTGTTCAACTATCTCGTTCACTGCCAATGAAGCTGTATTCTCAAAATTACAAGTCTTGCAAAATAAAGCTATGAGAATAATATTGAATAAAAATAAGTACACCAAAATAAAATCTATGTTACAAGAATTGCAAAGGTTGAATACAATAGAATACTGCTGATTAGGACTTATCAAACATTTAGTAAGGGTTATATTAAGGCATATATCAAACTGAATGAGTTTCAACTTCATCATCTTTTTTATGGTACAGCTTGAGGAAAGCTCTATTTAAATCATTATAAAACCCTAGATAATTTCCTGAATACCTTCTTGATGTACTTGAACCTACAATGGTGGTATTTTTTCCATCTACGATATCAATTCAGCAAATATAAAATGCTTCCATATCGATGTAGGACTTCAGAAACGTTCAATTTCATAGAAATTTCAATATACTACAAAATAACATGATAGAGAATATAAATTAAACTTACCTTTTTTTCGCAGGAGTCCCCTCACAAGTGATTGAAATGGCAGATATAGTACTACAATCTGAGTCTTCTTGCTTCTCTGGACTTACAGATCATTCTGAACTAGAATAAAGTATATATATATTCAAAACCAAATTAGGGACTTCTACATAGTGAGATACTAATGCATAGAAATACTTCATGAAATTAAACACTAAATAATACTATGAGTTATAAAAATCAATGCACATATATAAAAAATACACAAAAAATCAAAAGGAACTATAGTTTTAATCAAAGTATGAGCAACTCAGTTTAATGCATTGTGATTTGAACAAACCAAATCAATCAAATGTACTGTCACTGTTTTCATAGCAATGTAATGTAAGATATAAGCATCATCTTCATTTCAGCTCATAAGATGCAGATATTATGTTAGCTCTTCTTGATTGCTGATAGATTATAGAGTATGTCTTATATCTGTCTCTTATCTGTGAAATTGCCAAAATATAACACTAATTATAGCTAAATTTACCTAAATCCATAACAGTTAATGTCGGGTTCATGCACGACTTAAACTAACCGAACTTAAGGATCAGCTGTTTATACACCAGTGTCCTCCACATGTTACGCCTCCAGATAGTAACTAGCTAGTGACTTCCAGTGGTGGTCAAACGTTTTGGTGACGTCACACCCATTTTTTGACATGATTCGGGTGGTTTCGGAACTCGTCTTACCCTTGGATAGCCCTTTCCATACTGTTCTATGCTCGTATTGACGTAATTATAATAATTCTGTGGTGTCCCGTGTTCCACGACGATTTACCCAGAAAGCCAGGCAGTGACTCATCTGTTGTTTTTGTTTGAGTTGTTGACGAATTTGTGGTAGAGATTTGTTTTGGTGTTCGTCTTCGGGTGTGTTTTTCTGCCTTTGACTTGTTTTTTGTGCGATTAATTGAGGATGGCCATGCCTAGAGCAAAATAACGAAAAGCCGCGGTGGTATCAACTCCTGACCTTGTTGAAGAGGTACCTGCAGAAGTCACCTGAACGCAATCGGACATCGCCAGAGGAGCGCCTAATGATGACGTTGCAGTAAGTATCCAAATCAGTTCATTTTTGCATAAATGACAAAATATATTGAGGTTATGGTCGTTTTCTTAATTTCAAGGTCACTTCTTAAATTAAAGTTCAATATATTGAACTTTTCCTTAAGAACCAACCAATCGGATCACTAGCGTTGGTCAGCTGATCGCTACAGCTGGAATTAGAAGATGGCTACGAGCCATCGATACTGTACAAAAGTCGATAGTCGATATTTATATCGTGATGTTTGATCGATTTTATATCGCAGTATGGGCAGATGGTTCGGTGATACTTGTATGAAAAATTATTTGCGCTTGCTTACGCATGACAGTTTAGAGCTGAACATCGGGGCGGATTGATAAAAAAAATCATGTATGTTAAAAATTATAATAATTAAAGTCAGTGGTCATGTTTCCTTCATAAATTAGATCAAAAAACAGCATGAAAAAAATACCAAGATAGAGGATTTTGAAATTATATTCTAGAGAACGAAAAAAAAAAAAAGGGAAATGATCTTAAAATTTTGTGCTTGTAGTACTGACTTCATAGCTGATAGATGCAAACACTTTCATGTCTGAGACTGTACCAGTGGTGATGTTGGCAAATTATAGCCCCTACAGAAGAAAAAAGAGAATTTAAATCTATACCATGCCCCCCATGACATGTTTTTCCAAAACCTCACAGAACACTGTGAAGGTACTTTGTCATTAACTACAAACCAGGTGTACACCTGACGAATGCTGTGTATTCGCAGCCCACCAAATATGTAATCTCTTTTGACGTTTATTGAGGTAAACAGATTGAGTAGCACGTAACTTTTTTTGTGACATCTGTACTGTTGGTAATAACAAACCTGGTAAAGGGCCAAATTAAGGACTGGCATTTGGTATCACCAATGAAAATTTTTTTTTTAAACACAGAATTTTGGCAATCAAATGTATACTGCTAGATTGGGAATTTATACATATGTACAGAGCAGTATCATCTGAAGGGGCGTGGTGAGATGACTATGTTTCTGTTTAGTGCTTGCTGACCAAATATGACAGTGATATTATGCTAATAATTTTTTTTTTGTTTCACAGTGTCAAAATCCTTCGAGGAGGCAGTTGGAATGAAGATCGTCATTTATTTTATGGATACCAAATTAATTGTCAATGAGAGTTTGTTTCCTAGTTTGAAGAAACAATTACTGTTTTATGTGTTTTTTTTTGTTGAGGACAATTTTGTTTGCCTTTACCCATTAAACAGTGTGCGCAAAACTATTTTTGATTCACATATCAGAGTGATTATATTTGTATTCCAGTCAGTCCTCTACCTACAGATGTATTTTTTGTTATTTTAGTATTTATGTTTTCGCAATAAATATACCTGATCAATTAACAAGAGATAGTGCTTGCATGATATTGCACTGATCAGGTTCATAATATAGAGAAAAATCCAGATGAGTAGAATACCTCTATGTATGTACAATTTATTGTAATGAAGAATTTGTTCTATTATTGCTGTGACTGTTCAGTAAATATTTTTTTAATCATACATTTTTTTATTATCCTGATATTCATTACTAGTCAAACTGATGAAAGAAATACTCCCTTTATTGAGGATGTGTTATGCATCTATGATCATCGAACTGCCTCAATATCGGTCGTCAGTCAGATTTCATAATGTAAACAAATGAAATCGCCGACACATTCCCGACATTCCTGATATGCGTTGTCGGCATACTTTCAATATTTATAGTTCCACCAGATTTCCAGCCAAGAAAAGTGGCGCTGCCGTCGAGGTTATAGTCCAAGAAATATCTTCACATCTGCTCAGGAAAATATTCGGATTCGGACTTTTTGCATGTTATTCGAAAAAGCCTCCTAGTAACAAATCTACATGTTGTCAGGCTCCAAATTGCGTCTCTAATTGTTTGAACAACTTTTTCAAATAAATTACAAAAATTAATGTTTTCGCTTCATCAAAGGTAGCATTCGTTTTTTTGATACTCCGAAACAAAATGATGTTTGACAATGTTTGTCAAAAGTTGATTTTGTACGAGATGGGAAAGTACAAAAAATTGATTTTGCGATACCGAAAAACGATCTGAAAAAACGAAAATGTTAATGTCGCCATGCTTCATAAATAACCATTAACGATACCTTTTAGGAGATACTGATGTTATAAATCTTTGTATTTAGTTTATATGCAAGCGGACGCTCAATGCATATTCAGCGTGCACGAGAGATATTTCATCTCTCTCGCGTTCACATAGACATAGACTATAGATTGAGCGCGCATTCAAATGCTCTGGGGGTTTTGTTATTGGTTGGTTGAAGCATGTGTGAGATTTGGCAACAACAAAATATTCATTTTTCATATTGTTTTTAGGGTAGCAAATGACATGTTTTGAGTTTTTACATTGCTTATACCTGTATATATCAAGTCTAGAGAAAAGTTCTAAAGCTCATTTTTTATTTAGAATGTCCTAAAAACCGCAAAATACTTTAAACAAAGCGAACAAATCAATTTTTGGAATCGGTTTAATAACAATTTTTGGAGCAATTTTGGGAATAGTCACATGCAGATTCTTTAGGAGGTCCTTGAATCAGATTATGCAAAAATAGGAATCGGAAGAGTTTTCCGAGCAGATGTTCCCATATTATCTGGACTATTATCCGAGTTCTTTGACCTGCATTGGCGCAAGCGTGTGGGGAGGGGCCACTTGTCAACGTCAAGGCTGGCCCGCCAGTCCACGTGACACATAAGCCACAAAACACTGTTTCATCTGCTACTTTGACGTTAAACATATGATTATTTAAGGGTATTTAACTTTCATGTTGCCTCAACTGCTACGTTGGCAATCCTGGCCGCGCATGCGCATGAAATGCTCATTTTAAGTTAAGTTAGCTTAAATCGTGCATGAACCCACCATAAGTTAGGAAATACCTAGATCAGAAACATCTTATATGAAAAGTTAAACAGCAGATAGAATCAGAATCAAAATGAGTGGTTGTTAAATATTATTAAATCCAACTATTCTTTTTTGTTTACTGTATTAGAAAAACTAGTCTATTATGTATTAAGAGTTTACCTGGTGCTTACTGCAGGATCAAACAAAGAATGAGAGATGAGAGGAATCGCATCCCGCTTGAGTGTCTTTTGTCCCTCACTTCCATAAACAAACGCATTTTCTCCAAAATGCTTGGAACATAGCTCCACCCTCTTAGGAAATTGATGGTTTTCCTCGAATCCAAGGGCCGACAACCACCTTTTTCTCCTTTCCGGGTTCTTGGGAAGGCTAGAATTTCGAATATTACAGTTATAAATCGAAAGCTATCAACAAGTTTCTCGATAATGAGACGCCATGATACGCCTCTGAACATAAACAAGATGTATACTTACGAATGAAATTTTAAAGATTCCGCTCCAGCCTGATTTTACACAAATAGCACTGCTGCACCATTTTATTGTGATTGAATATACCTTTATAGTCTCTCTAAAATGAATAAAAGCAGCAAGGAAATTCACTATCAAAACAAACTTTGACAATTGACACAAAATGGCAGTTGTTTAGTAACTTAAATAAGTGCTACCAATATACTATTTTCTTACGATGTGGATAAATTATGAATGAGCAGATAAAAGCAACGTTGCCAGATCTTCAAGTCGATTATGGTATAATTTATGTAAGGTTCTTACTTGTTTGACTATTTTGATATCAATCCATTGTACGAGAATCATGATGTTTAGTACCCACACATGCGCTGAAAAATCACCATAAACAGGGAATAATTTTAGTTACTGGAGGTTTGAAAATGTGTAGAACGACCACGAACAAATCCGTTGTTTAGCTGCCGTTTCTTGCGGCGAGGCAACGTGTCGATTCGCTTTGTATATGTCGTCAACAACCAGAAATGTAAGCAAAGGGGTCTATCCTCGTTTTAAAGTCGATGTGTGAGTGCATTGTTTCTTAAGAACTGTGCTTTCTCACTGTCTAGGCCTTTATGGATTTTATTTAATAAATCTTTAGCCCTGGGAGTTTTTCCAAAGAAATGGAAAACCTCCTACATTATTCCAATTTTTAAAAATTGTGGAAATCAAGAGAATGTTGAAAATTACAGGCCCATTACATTGATATCGTTAATTCCAAAGGTTTTTGAATCATTTGTAGCAGATTTTTTGAAGGAAAAATTTAAAAATGTTATAATTGCACAGCAACATGGTTTCTGTGAAGGAAAATCTATAACTTCTAACCTTTTAGTTTATCATTCACATATGAAGGGTACAGGTCCATAAGGAGCTAAGTGGCCAAATGTTTATTTCGTACAAAACAGAGTTTAACTTTTAAAACTAGTAATTGATAAATTCTTGATGGTTATTATGAATTCTGTTAATTAGATTAGTTATTTGGGTAATTATTGAGACACACACAAGAAATTAAACTTATATTGTCATTTATACAAAGTAGAACATAAGCATTAATTGGTCAAACCATCAAACATTGTTGGCCTAAAGGGGCCAAGTCCAAAAAAAAACAAGGTATACCGAAAGTAGACAATAGTTATTAATATAAAATATACTTCTATTTCTTGGGCAGGTTATCAAAAAATTGTTTTGCTTCGTCACCACAGAATCGTTTTAAATCTTGTAGGTGTTTAAATTTTTTAGCCGTGATGGGTATCAAACCTAAAAATAATTTTGTTGTTTAAAAAAAATAGTATTTCAAGACATAAGTATTTTTTATACCAGAATAAGAATACGGAGGAAGTACAAATTCATTTTGCAATAGCACAGGTCCCTTTCGCTTAGTCTCTTTTCCCTTCACTATTGCTGACTCCCGGTAATATATTAGTCTATGATGTTCTTGATGTATTTCTAATTCTCGAATAGGACGGGAACGGACAGGACATTTCTTCAAATAATCCGTTTTGGTATTAAAAAAAATTGTCCATGCTCGAGATTGATCTATTTCCACAACGTCAAATGGTGATGGTTTTGCACGAGCACTTCTAAAAATTTCTACACAATCTGAAGGAATCTCGGCTCTTTGGTGGGAGTTTATTAAGCCCATATTTTTGTCCGGTTCCATGTAGGAATGCCCACGAATAGGAAAAGTAACTTTAACATAATCAAGTCTATGTGTATTGTGGACAATATAATGCAAAAAACGAAACATCGTGTAATTTTTATTTTGCCCTCCACACGAGTCGCAGAATATTTCAAGCGATCTTACTTGTAAATCGAGAAAATTCCATAAAAAGTCATTCAGCATTGAGCATACATCGTCGCTTCCCTTTTTGCCAAGTGTTTCCGGTTAAATGTAAAACACACTTTTTGCTGTAGATAGAATGTGGATATTAAAGGCATAGACGTTCAGCTGGCTCTTATAGTAAACATCGTTTGTTGTTATGTTTGGGACACTGAGATTTTGTCCAAAATCGAGACAAATAGCTTCGTGAGTCACAGAGGTTCGACTTCGTTTCTTCGCAGTCCTTTTTCTACTGTAAAATACCTCAGCCTTTCTTTTGTGTACATCATTTTGTATTGTAATATGGCGTATTTCCTTTTGAAAGCGTTCTTTTTGAGCAATATCCATACTCTTTAAAACATCAGACTGAAGAGATTTTATTTTTATAAGAAACTCATCGCAAGAACTACATGTATCGGTCCTGGGATATCCAAAGGCTATGTTGAATTTTGTATTAAAGACTGTTCTGTACGACTCGTAAGATACTTTCATAGAAGGGTTCAACTCGCAAAACATTTTGAACATCTTTTTTATGTTTAAGTTTTCAGGTAAGTATAATTTTCTACTATCCTTCACACTGTAGTGGCTTTTACTGCCTTTAAATGACTTTATATGTTCGTATATTGCTGCAAGAACGTGAGCATCAAATTTCCTAGGATGGTTTTTATTTTCTCCTCTTTTATCTTTTGGAGCGACTCCAGTCATTTTTAGTGACTTTTGTAGTATCTCTAATTTTTTTTTCTTTATTCCATGAACAGACATAAAAGCTTGTCTACAACTATTTATTTCCTGTAAGCTATTATCAGTTCTAAAACGTACCCTGTAAGGATATGCACTACTTCTCAAATTTGCTGTGTCTTCATCTTTCCTAGGCCTTCTTCGGCGAATGAGGAGTACCGTAATCAATCCACATAAGTAGGAGTTCTGCTCATTAATAGAAGTCATTGCGTTAAAATTCTTGAGAATGGTTTTTCTTGCTTCTTCAGGTACATTTTGAAAACATTGTTTACGACAGTTACAGTTTGCACCTACCTCGTGGCTCTGCAGTCTAATCTTTTTCATGACATCTCTCATTCTGCCGTACTTTTTCCTCTTTTTTGATTCATTCTGTCTAGATACTACTTCACTCTCATTGCCGCTACTATTGTTCTCAGTATTCATTGTTATTTACTTTTAAATTACTTGAAAAACATTGAAAACACTAGCTACTCCGACTAATCTAACTCTAAACTGCGCGTATTAGATCGACATCTATCAGCTGTTTATATGGACTTTACCCTTTTAGGACCTGACTGATGCGGACTTGCCCCCTATTGGGGGTGTATGCGTAAATAAGAATTAGAATTTCACAGGCACTAAGCGCTTTTAGGACGTGTTCAAGTCGCTGACCACTTCTACGTTAAAATTGCTACAAGATGGCACCACTAGATCTATTTGTGTAAAATTACGACTTGCCCCCTTTTGGACCTGTACCCTTCATATAGTTGAGACATTGGAAAATGGGCAATCTGTTGACTCAATTTATACAGATTTTGGGAAAGCATTCGACAAGTTGAATATAGATATTCTCATTGAAAAGCTCTCTTGTTACGGATTGCATGGAAGTTTATTGAACTGGTTAAGATCTTATCTTTCTGAAAGAGAGCAATTTGTAAAAATTAAAAACTGTCTCTCAAATCCAATTGCTGTCTTGTCTAGTGTACCACAAGGTGCGCACTTGGCACCCATTTTATTTATAATTTTTGTCAATGACATAGCCCAATGTTTTAAATTCTGTTCTTTTCTTATCTATGCTGACGATGTCAAGATCTATTTACCTCTTTCTGATAATAACTCAACATTAAAGATTCAGAGTGACCTTGATCAATTTGTTAAATGGAGTGAAGAAAATAGAATGATCCTTAATACAGACAAATGTAAATACATTCAATTTTCAAAGTCTAACAATAATATAGTCAGCAGTTATCACATAAATAATACCCAACTTCAAAATGTGAATGTTGTTAAAGACCTGGGTGTTATATTTGATAGCAAAGTAACATTTTATCAGAACATAGAGGTTATAAGAAATAAAGCTTTAAAAATGTTGGGCTTCATAAAAAGAAATACATCTGAATTTACTAACATTGGAGCTATAGTAACTCTCTATACTTCACTGGTGCGATCTCATCTAGAAAATTGCAGCAGCGTGTGGTCTCCATATTATGTAACTTATCAGGACATGCTTGACGGGGTTCAGAGAAAATTTCTACGATATATAGCTTACAAAAAACACATTTCTATTGAGAATTTAGACTATAATGCTCTTGAAAAGGAGTTAAGGATTGGATCCCTAAGAGCCAGGAGAGATTCAGCAGATATTGTTTTTGCTTATAAATTAATTCATGGTGTTTACCACTGCCCAGACCTGCTTCTAAAGCTAAATTTTTATGTTTCTCCTAGGCATTTAAGAGAACGAAGATCCTTTGAACCTTGTCGGCATAGAACATTGTATGGCTCGAATAGTAGCATGGATAGGATAATGAGAAATTGTAATGACTGTGATATAGACCTTTTTAATACTTCACTATGCTCTCTCAAAAAGTTCCTTAAAGATAGAAATCTTAGCTAAAGTTTTAAAATGTCTTAATTGCTGGTGATGTTTGCTGTGTTGTTTAGTTGTTCAGTTTTTTTTTTTAGTATTTGTTTGTAACTTTTTTATGCACGTTTTAATATTTTAATTTAGTAAATAGTCAAACTTTATGTTCATATGTTAGATACTTTATTTAAGATGTGTGTGAATTTTATTAGGTTAAGATTGTACTTTTAAACCGGTAACCGAATGGGTTTATCCCGTAAATTTGTAAATAAATAAATAAATCATTCAATGATAGTTGGGCAACCGGTTGCCAACTGCGTTAGCGAATACAAATTTTTCGGTCGGTCGACAATCGGTCGCAAGTCGGTTGCTCACCGATCAGAGTTGGAAATTTTCACGTAATAAGGGTAAAGACAAACAGAGCTGTTTTGACCGACGCGTTTATCGAATCGGCCGCGTTCTAGTAATCCACACTGAGCTGTTTCTTCAGCGGTTTATGCAGTGATCCATTCGATTTGCAGGATGGATGACGTATTGCATTTATCGCTACTGTATTTGTATTGGAAAATTAGTAAAAAAAAAGGAATAGAAGAATGTGGATACATCCAATCATCGAAGAAAGGCAGCGAAAAGGTCATTTTCATACATTGTTTGCAGAAGTACAAAGAAATGAAGAAACGTTTTTTAACTTTACTAGGATGTCGCGAAGTACTTTTTACGAGTTATTAGCAGTTTGTGGAGAAAAACTAGCAAAGAAAGATACACGTATGAGAAATGCGATAACACCAGAAGAAAAACTAGTAATAACTATCCGGTAAGCAAATAAATTTAATAGGTAACTGTTTCTCATTTTATTAAAAATTTATTCCACAATCTTTCATACATCATAAGAGTATATTTATTCAATTCATATTAAATATACTAAACTGGGAATCCTCTTCCGAAAAGTGGGAATAATAGCTTCTAACTGATTCAGCTGGTGAAGGAGCTGGAGGTAGTGTGGAGTTTATTTGTTGTTTGGGGGCATTCTGAGATACTCCATACTGCTCTTGTGGATGTTGTACAAGTCCTGACTGACTGGGATAATGGATTATGGAATACGTGTGCTGATTGGAGCTGGTGGTGTATCTGATGTCTGATTTGCTTAGGTCCTGGTTGCATATTTCGAAATAGTCTGCATTATTTCAATCCTGCATTTTGTATTTAAATGTCTTGGCAGTGCAATAAGTGAAGGTACTAAGTGCAAAGTGGTAAATGTCATCTTCAGTAATCGTCTTGTTTGCTCTTTTTTCGTAATTTTCAAGTGAATGTACTATTTTTTCTTCGACCGGGTGTATCCAAGAAGTATGCGAAGCAATATGGACAAGTTATACCGCAATGTTCAACAGAGAAATGGATAGAAATTGCTAAAGGATTTCAAACATGTGCACAGTTTCCCAACTGTATAGGAGCAATAGACGGGAAACATATTCGGACTAAACAGCCACCAATAGTGGGTCTATGTACTACAATTATAAACAGTACTATTCTACGGTACTGTTTGCGATGTGCGATGCCAATTATTATTTCTTCACGTATATTGAAGTGGGATCATATGGTAAATCAAGTGATGCTGGCATATTCACAAATTCTAAACTTTATGAACGATTCGTTGATGGTACATTGGGAGTCCCTGCACCATGTGCTATTGACGAAACGAATGAAAAATATCCTTTCATAATAGTTGGCAATGAGGCATTCCCCTTATCCGAAAATTTGCTTAGGCCTTTTGGAGGTAAACAACTGACACCTTTAAAAGAAACTTTCAATGCTAGATTAACCCGAGCCAGAAGATATATCGAATGCTATTTTGGTATTCTAGCCAACAAATGGCATATATTTCATCGACCTATTGACCTCGATATTGATGTAACTGTAACTGTAGTTAAAGCTGCTTGTGTGTTACATAATTTTATAAGGACAAGGGATGGCACTCGGTCGAATGACGAGAAGTTAGATGAAAATATTAATCTTGAAGGTCTAGCACCAGATACAACCCACAGAGGAAATCCATTAGCATTATCTGCTAGAGATAAATACGTTCAATATTTTGTAAAACTAAAAACCGTTTGAATAATAAAGATAGCCAATAAAAAATGTTGTTAATCTGTTCTTATTATAAACAATTATTATACCTACCTAGCTGCTTTTCGTCAATTGTGCTGTTTTCTTTTGCAAACAAATTTACTAGTTCCTCCCAACATTTTCTTCTCATATCGCTGTATTCCTTTTTCCTCATATCCCAAAGTGGCGGTCGGTTCTCTACTTCGCTAATTAGCTTTTCAATATCAATTTTGTGAGCTTCCGTTTCTATACAAAACGAGTCGAGACACGTACGTGTGTGAACAGAGTAATCTAATGACGCCCCTTTAATGACAAGTGCCAGATGTTTCTCAATCAATCAGCACTTGCTGGTACTTACCTATACATATAGTTTTAGATGACTGCCTGATCATTAAAGGCTGCAAATGCATCAGAAAACGTGAACATAGTGTCTATTTGTGTTTGAGATTTTGTCTGACTAAGAGGTGTTTGTGTTAATTTTTCAAAATGAAATATAATCTCAACATTGCAAATCGATGAGGTACTTGTCTTTGCAGAAATTCATCCTAATTTAGCTAAGGACAGTGTTGGGCTTGGAGGGATCTGGAGCTACAAAAAATGGACAATCCTGGAGAGGGGTGAGTTTATGTTACATTTTGTTATTCATCCTTTTGTCATCGCTAATTCATAATTTTTATAATTGTGCTGAATCTTATTTTTCATTATAAGATTACAACCTTTTGGTATAGTCATTATTCTGTTGTATCCCTCTTTTCATTAGATAAATTCAAAAAAGTTGTAGAACTTTTTATAGAAGAAAAAATGCAATGTTGATTAATAGAAAATTATTTTTAACGGTGTAATAGCACAATTGTTCCCAGAGACTACCTTTTCACAATATTTTATCAAAAACTTTTTTATTTAAGTAACTTGAGAAACGATGACGTTTATCCATTTTTGCAGTAATTCAATTCTTATTGGACTAGACTTTATATGAAACTATTTTGTACTCTACTGGTAGAAAATAGTTTGTTTAATTCAATGTATTTGTATGTTTCCAAATAGTTGCTACCATCTTTTAATATTTGCAATTATAGTTTACACAGATTCCATGGGTAATTTTCTTGGATTAGTACTGCAGGTTATAATAAGGCATTTTGTTCCATGTTCCATATGGTTTTATTCATGTACTAATACAATAATACTCTTTTACAGTATTTAATAGACATTAAACATAGGATACAACCTAGAGCTGCACAATATAGGCAAGATGCTACAGGTACTCTGGTGGAGGGTGCTAATGTTGATAACTTATCTGAAGTAAATATGGCCATATTGGGAACAGCAGCAGCATTTGGAGATACTGAACTTCAAATTCCATTTAGTGTAAGTACATAACTCCTGAATAAGTTTAAATGGAATTAATTTTAATTAATGAATAATCAGTTTCTATTCTCTATCTCTGTTGCCCACTTAATTAAACCACATTTAATTTTACTTCTTGGCACTCCACATCATCTTCTAACACTTGATCACAAGATAAAAATAAGTACAAAGTTCTGCTTCAAATGGAAAAAATACAAATTTTTAATTTAATTTTTCACTAGTGATCTTGTTTTAGAATGAAAAATTGCATATTAATTCAGTTTCTACTTGGTGTTGCTTCATAACTTCAGACATTAATTAAAAGCTTTTTGATTTTCAGAACCAACTCCTTCATCTTCAGCTGTTGAGCCACCACCAGATATAGAATTACAAATAGCTATGCAGTGTAATGAAGCCTGTTGTATGCAGACAAGAAATTTGGCCAAGCATCTCAAACCTTCAAACCTGATTGAAATCCAGAAAGTATAAAGTATTTTTATGATTATTGTTTACTTGTGCGACCTAATCTTTGTCATTTTAATAAACGATAGCACAAATCAATTTACTATATTATTCGTATCGCTGTTGTGTAACAGTGCCCTATTTTTTTGTGTTACAACTACTCTACTACTAATACGATTTTTTTTATTGTATTTAAAATAATTGCTTTACAAATTGACAAAAACAAAATAGGAGTGTCGTTAGAAAAATTATATTTGTAGAAATGCTTTTGATATATTTTCTGAAGAGAATTGGTCCCCATTAGAAATACATTTAGCGGTTTGTACTAATCTTCACAAGCGGCGAAGTTCTAGGCTGTTTGAGTGATTGTGGAACACAGAGTTTTTTTTTTGAAATTTTTACGATTGTATTTAGTACCATTAATGATTAAACTGATAAAAAAGTTGTGAGTTCTATTACAAAAAAAAAGGTCAGCGGTTTTATAACTATGTTTTAAAAAGGCAGCGCTTTTTGTTACAATTTTTCTTGATCTTCGCTCAAAACGTACTTTTAGGCTTGTTCCAAATCCTCTAAAATAGACATTGTTGAATATGTACATGTGAAAATAAACCTTCATAGAAAACTAATTCTATAAACATTAACATTTTCTTTACAATGGCTGATAAAACCTTTTTAAAGCAGAGCTACCATTAAGCATAAGCATATGACAATGAATATTATTTCATGGAAATTTAAAATGTTCGATACAGTAGATAATACAAATTTTAATACTCCTGTGCATCGCCCTATGGTATTTCTGGTAAGACCGATTCTTAATGGATATCCAGAGTCACCTGTAAATATATATGTTTCATTATTACTAATCTTAAGCAGGCATATAACGATAATTACAACTAAAGTAAAAAAATCAAAGTAGATATTAGTGCTGAAATCGGTGTCTAAAATATGTGAAATGTTAAGACTCGGATTTGTTGCTGTATTGTTAATCTTACAGATAATGAATCAGAGGTATTGATCTTAGAATCGATGAACATTGACTTATCACTCTTGTTAATAGGAAATTTCAACTTCTACAGTGATGGAATTTTTATCAGGTAATTAAACTTCTATGTGTTGGAAATTTTTGATGTAGCTGAACTCATTAGTTTCTCAGTTAATGATCCACCATACAATTTTGATATGCAATCTCACTTTCTTAATATGTATGGCAATATAATTACTATCCTCTCTGACAGTGTTTGAGGAAAGTATATATGCTTAGATAGAATGTCTGGATGATTTAATGCATCCACCATTTCCCTTAGTGCTTTGGATACACTAGGTTGACTCAGCCCATGTAAATAACCTATGCCAATATGTTTCTGGTAGGAACCAGCGGCCAGCACCAGAAGTGCTGCTAATACCTACAACCAATATGTTTCTATACTATAGTAGGAAGGTGCAAGTAAGCTTATTTTATAATCGTTATGAACTTCAAGTCATAGATACTGAAAAATACGTCGTATGCGAGAAGTTTGCCGTCTTTGAACGTGCATTCTTTCGCTTTCCAATGCTTCCATAAGTAAAACTGCACGAGCCATCCAGAGAATCAAAATTGCTGAAAATACAAATTGGGAGCATACAATCACTTCTTAGACTCGTCAAGCTATTTTATTCCTTATTTGAACTTGTTATACTTAATTTTCTTGTTAAAAAAATGTATAGTTTTGACAAATTCATCCAAACAAAACACTAACAACCGACTAGCGACCGACTAGTCGACTACCACTGAGCAGTTGTTAATTTGACAGTTCAAATCGCTAGTGAGTTAGGGAATACCAATTTTTTGATACTCCTAACAAAAGAATGCACGTTTCGTTCACCAGTTGCTGCATAGAGGCGCCACCGTAGCCGGTCGCCGATTGAGACGCGGTGAATGATACACAATACGAAGTTTGCGTTTGACAGCAACTATAGACCAACTCGAGTCGGTTGTCGGTCGGTTGGAAGTTAGGTAATAAGCCTGCGGCGACCGGCTACGGTGGCGCAATACTTGGTCTACCTATCTTATTTTAAAGTCTTTGATCCTTGCAGCACAGCTCGGATGGAAAATCCTTGAGCAAATTATGCAGAAATATTTATTATTAACGTCTTTTTTACAGCATTTAAACGTAGATTCCATAATGCTTTTAAATTTTAAGTCATGCGCAGCAGCAACAATTTATCACTCCGCCCTCGTTTTCTTTGCTTCATTCAATTAGGCAAAACAACATCTTTCGAGCAAAAAAAAAACAAAAAAAAACTGCTTTTGGAAATCCATCCGTTTTTTGTTTACTACTCTTATCGCTTATCTAAATTTGGCAAACTTTTTGAGTTATTCTATGGCTTTCAGTACAAGTCTCTGGTTCGATCAGTTGTATCAGTCTTTTCATAGTGGGTATACTTTCATTTGTCTCATTATTTTGTGCGCATAAATAGCCCACGTTTACGGAAACAATGAACTAGTGGACATAATGCTAACTACGGAGAGTGCGAACAAAATGCAGCCGCACTATGCAGGTTGTATGCGGAAAGGTTTCCTTTCAGAAATCAGCCGGTCCCACGGATGTTTGTAAGTTTAGTTATTAGACTTCGTTTCATGCCACAGGATATTTAACAAAACAACGAGGAAGTCACGCTGGAAGACCTGCTCAACCTGAAATGTTTCAAATTTTAGAAATGGTCGAAGCCGACCCAACAATGAGTAGATCCCTACTAGAGCCAAAGCAGCTCAAGTTTTTCATAGTAAAGTGTGGAAGACAATACAAGAACAGTATTGTTCTTATCATTATCAACAGGTACAATCATTACAACCTGAAGATCATCCTAGAAGATTTGCATTTTAATTGCAATGAAGATTTTACGAAATTAATTTTGTGCACAGACCACATTTACACGAAATGGAGTGGACAATTTCTACAATAATCATGTTTGTGCAGTGGAAAATCTGCATGATGTAAGAAGAACTCATTTTCAACATAGTTTTTTTACTAAATTTAGACTTTCTGCAACACAATCTGCCACAATTATTAGATGTTCCTCTAAATGTGAGATAGAATATGTGGTTCCTACATGATGGGGCTCCACCACACCTTAGACGAGAAGTTAATGAACATCTAAATAATGAGTTTCCGAATAGATGGATAGGGCGTAATGGACCTATTTCTTAGCCTGCTCGTTCCCCGGATTTAACGACTTGCGTTTTTTTTTCTGTGGGGCTATTTGAAAGAGTTGGTAGGTATATCATGATGGTAAATACTCTGGAAGAACTTCAACAGCGCACTGAAAATGCGTGATTTAATTCGTGGACACCAGGATTTTATTTTCGAAGCTTGTGAAGAGTCGTGGATTCGCCGGTTTTTGAAAGAACGGTACCCATTCAACTTTATCAGGATTTTTTAAATAATTTTCAATAATGCAAACTAACTCTCTTATTATGCAACTTTTATATAGGTGATTTTTGGTATATCAACTTCTTTTGACGAGTTAAACAAGCTGTTAAAATAAATAACTCAACTTTGAAAACACCCTCTGTACAATAATACTTTGCAAATGTCTATGGAAATATTTTTGCACTCGGTCAACAGCATGTCGTTCACATAAAAATCATGAAAGATTATCACAGACACCAGACACCCTAATTCACCCTACATGCTGGAAGGATTCTGCTAATTTTAGAAAACCGGTTGGCTAGACTACCGCGCGACGGAGGCAGTGTCGTAGAAGTGACGCTGTTGAATTGGATTAAAACACAATTTTTTAGATGAATCCATATTTATGTCTAGCACCGTCGCCTTGGCTCTACCACCAAATGCCTATTTATTTTTTATTCTGGAACAATTTTATTTGAGTTGGAAAATATAACGAAGCAGATCAGCTTCTTCAACGGGACCAACCAGCACCACTGCGAAAAGCAAGTAGAGTAACTACCATTTCGAAGATCAAGTACAACTTTGAAGTCTGATAAAATCAATTTTCATTTAATCGTTTTTATAATTTATGAAAGCATTTTCCAACTATGACCTTGAAAGCAGTGATTGGCAATGTATTTAAGGTACTGAAATTACAAAACGGCAACCTATCCATTTCGTGTCTTGTGTGATGGTATAGGTACATAAATTGTGTTTCACCATTGGTTTCACAGAATTCCGGTTCATGCAATCCTACTTTCCCGTCGGAATTTTCCATGTTTCCCGCAACGAGGTTAACTGGTGAGGAAACTCATGGATCACAGAAAGCAGAAAGATTGAAACCAACCTTTCTTACAGGTAGGATATAGACTTAGTTGCCCTCTTATACTACCTTCCGCAGAACAGGCTTTAAAGTGAGGGTATTCCCTTTGCGTATGTTTTGATAACAAAAAAAAACACCAGCCACACCTTGCTCGAGAAACGCTTCCTCATTAGGTATATTTTAGTTCTCAAGCCGAAATCAGGGCGGGCTTATGCTCCCCCTTGTCCCGCCTAATGGGCGCCCATGATTAATCAGTGATTTTATTTCCAAATTACACTCTGCTTTTGAGCCCAGATATCATAGCCACA